AATGAGGAACGAGTAGCTGAGGCCAGATTCCTTAGCGACCTTCTTGAGATGTTCCTGGACGGTGACCTTATCGCCGAAGACAGGCAACTTCGAGGCGAGGGGGTTTGTGGTATCGCAGCCGTATTCCGACGGGATGAACCGCTTGACGCCAGCTGCTACTGCTGCATCGATCAAGCGCAGATGGGTGGATATCGGGACTGTGCCGACATTTAGAGTGCTGACTACGGCTTCTTGTCCGGATAGAGCGGCCTTGAGGGAGTCGAGGGACTCGTAGTCCACTTGTGCGACGTGCGCGCGGGAATCGAAGGTTTTATCGCTGCCTTGTCGGGTGAGGACTGTCACGTCAAAGCCTGCGGCGAGCAGTTCCTTGAGTACGGCGGGACCGAGGTTTCCGCTGGCCTGGATCATGTTAGAGAATGGGATAGTATGAGAGTCGTTTGCTGACATACTCCGGCAAGAGCAACCTTGATGTTTGCCATGTTGATGTTTAGATATGAACGGAGTAATTATTGGGTTGAATATGATATTTAGAGCTATAAACAGAATGTAAGTGTTGGATGTCAAGAAGCTCCCAGGTGGAGGCGTTATGGCGATTTATATTCGCAATATGTATAGATATTGGGTGATCACGGAATCTTACGATACCTAATGGTAGGTATGGGTGTCAGATTGATTTCAAATCGTTGCATGGTGAGATTCGCAATCATCCATCTCAGAATACCTGAAATGGTTCAACTTGATAAATCTCGATCACAGTCTTCCCCGCGCTCGATGGTTATAGTATTTCCTCCCCCGGGTTGTGTCTTGGCTTTTATGGGGGCGCTCAGTGAGCTGCTCAGTCAAAGCAGATTCCATCTTTCGTAATTTTCAAGTCGCAACAATGATTCTCATTTATGCGTGTGTTAAGGCTGAAATTGTTGAATCGAATCCATCGCTGCAGTTAGGTCTTCCTCACCAGGACAATTGCTGTCTGACAAGGAGTGCATTGTTTTCTCAGGAGATGAGAGAGGGAACTGGGAATTACCAGGGGATGGGCCAGTCAATCACGTGACATGTTAGTCGCGCCGGGTTCGACCGAGGGGAAGGAGATTGCAAAGCCCATTGCACACTCCAACCATTTAGTTATCACCTGGGAATCAACACGTAAGAGCCTGAGGTAAGACTGAATTCGAATATTCCCGTCTTCAAGTTCAATCTTGAAAGAGTAAGTCACCCGACGGCTAACAACATCTTGATTGATTTGTCCGGTCTGATTGGAGTGATATGAAATGAAATGATACATCGGATGAATGGCGACAGGATTAGACCTCGATATCTCCGCCACCAAATGTAACATGGCCCCTCCACGGACTTGAAGTTCCACTTTGAGCGGGAAAAGCTTGGGGAAAAGCTTGCGAAGGCTTGGATTAGCTTAAGCGAAGTAGCATTTATACGGGAAAAAGCTTAGCCTGACCGTCCAGACTGCTATAACTTCGGTATACCAGTAATAGCACAATGGTTTCGACAATTCGATCAATTATAATAACCGCCCTTCCTAGTTATTTCTCTACAACACATTCAGACAACACTCGCCTGTTCCTGAGCGGGTTATGGCGACGAAACTCAACTCGCCCCTTTGGTCGAGTTCCGGACAGCGCGCGGACTCCGTCGGAGCAGCGTCTCGGATTGTACAATGCGTCCGGGGGTGGGATTGTAGATAGCCTAGCGCGGCATCCACATTACGTATAAGCGTTTTAGTGACTTATTCCTTATCCAATACAAGGGATGGATGGCACGCCACTACGAGGTGAGACCTGCATCTTTATCGTCGCAGTGTATCTGGTTCGCGCATTGGAATCCTGCTCGACGGCGCCCCGTCGGCAATACCAAGTCCAGGTGGGTGCGCTAATCTAAAGCCTGTGGCGACCTTCTCATTTAGGACAAGTGGTTGTTACGTTCGATCACACAGGCTGGGATTCGTCTCTTATCGTGCTATGAGCTGGGTTCTTTGAACCTTGGGCTCGAGCGCTAGCAGTCCAGGGGGAGGGGAGGGGAATGCCACTTCCTGCGTCCCTTTTATCGATGATATATCAGCAGACCCGACCTGGCAATTTCTTGACCTTTTGAACATCTCTCACTTCCGAGTCCTGCCTTCTGAGACATCACATCATTTGTTATTCGACATGGCGACGACGCCAACCAAAACAGATACCCTGGTTGAGCGCGTACCCTCTGCGGAGGTGAACAGCGAAAAGTTTGGGGAAAAGGGCGGGGAAAAGGACCAGGTTCCTTCTATTCATGAAGTGCCTCTTCCGATTTACGACGACGCCGAAGCTCTCTCGAAGGGGACTGTAGCTCCCCTTCAAACCGCGGAGGAGATCGTCACTCAAGTCATTCATGTTGACGATGACCCAACACTCAATCCATGGACCTTTCGCATGTTCTTCATTGGTGAGCCTTCTCATTATGTCCTCTGTGATAATCCAACATGTCGCTGACTCGAATCAGGTCTCGGATTGTCTGCATTCGGAGCGGTCCTACAGGAGATCATGTACTTCAAGCCCCAGGTTGTTTACGTCTCGGTCATGTTCTTGACTGTCCTTGCTCAAACTCTGGGTACGGCTATGTCTACCTTTATCCCACGAAGGGGTGTCATCGGCCGTTTTCTCAACCCTTTCCCCTGGAACCGGAAAGAACACACTGCAGCAGTCCTCATGTCCTCGGCGGCAGCTGTCTCGGCCTTGTCAACGGAAGCTTTGGCTGTGCAAAAGCTCTATTACGGAGGATATCCTAATGTAGCTGCGGGAATCTTCATTACGCTTTCTTCGCAGCTCATTGGGTATGGCATTGCAGGCATGATGCGCAATGTTTTGGTACACCCCACCTCAATGCTGTATCCCATCAACCTACCCATCACGACTGTCATGGAGACCTTGCACAAGCCCAAAGCGGAGACCAAGCAGAGATTCAAGGTATTCTGGATCGTATTCGCGGCAATCTTTTGCTGGGAATGGTTCCCCGAGGTACGTCTGCTCAACCACATCGATCTACCTTACAGGCTCTAATAATGTCTAGTACATCTTCCCACTTTTGTCGGCAGTTTCCATTTTCTGCTTGGCCGACCAACACAATCTGATCTTCACAAACCTGTTCGGAGGCTCCCAGGGTAATGAGGGCATGGGATTCCTGTCCGTCTGCTTTGACTGGAATTATATCGCCGGTTTCGGATCACCACTTTGGATGCCGCTTCAAACTTTGGCCAACAGTTTCATCGGTTATATCGGGGGTATCATCCTCTCCATGGCACTTTACTACGGAAACATTTGGAGAGCCAAGGATTTCCCTTTCATGGCTCAGCTTCTCTACGATCAGAGCTCAAACACGACCACTGCTGTCCCATACAACGAGACTGCAATTATGAACGCAGACTTCACCGTGAACAGCACCCTGGTGGATCAGGCTGGAGCACCTTACCTTACCGCCACGTACGTGAACTATCTCATCACATCCAACGCTGGGCTCACGGCCACTATTGTTCACATGTTGCTCTGGAATTACGCCGAAGTCAGCCTTGGATGGGCTTGGATGACATGGAGCAACTTGAAGAAGATTTTGGATCCTTCCTTTTATAAGTTTTGGCAGCACACTGGTGTCCGAACCGAGGAAGAGAAGGAACAAATTCGTCGGGACCCTTTGATTGATCCGCATTATAAGCTGATGCTTGACTACGATGAAGTCCCCAGCAGTTGGTATTTCTTAGTGTTTGTTGCCAGCTGGGTCACTGGTCTGATATGCTTATACGTGATGAAGTCCACCCTTCCGTGGTGGGGCTTTATTGTCGCGACCATCTTCCTCGTCACCTTTATGGTCTTCTTCGGGGCGCAGTATGCCATCACGGGCTTCGGATACAACTTGCAGCCGATTTTCCAAATGATTGCTGGTTACATGATGCCCGGACGTCCTTTAGGTATACACTCCACTACTTTGAATGCTTTTGAGATCATTCCACTGACAACTCTCCAGCTAATATGTACTTCACCACATACACCTACAATGGTCTCTCACAAGGGTGGCTGCTTCTCCGTGATCTGAAACTCGCCCAACAGAACAAACTGTCACCGAAAGCTACGTTCGTCACACAAGTCATCGGCTGTGTCATGGGCGCCCTTCTCAACTATGTGATGATGATAACGTAAGTCCCATCCCTTACCTACCCCGGTATAAGATTCCCATCCAGTCTAACTCCTCTCCAGCATTGTCCAAAACCAAGCAACCATCCTCGAAACCGCCGAAGGAACAAACATCTGGTCCGGCGCCCAAATCCAGCAGTTCAACACTCTCGCCATCGCATGGTCCATCGCACCCAAGATGTTCTCCATCGGCGCGCGCTACGAATGGGTCACAGCAGCTTTCCTAGTCGGCTTCATCGCCCCATTACCCTTCTACATCATGCACCGTCTCTTCCCGCACCAGCGAATCTGGTCGTACCTCAACTCGGCCATTATCCTGTGGTATCTTGGAGAACTCTTCGTTGGTCTGAATGCTTCTCTCACAAGCTACTACATCCTCGGCGCGTTCGGTCAGTTCTATCTGCGCCGTTACCGCCCGCAATGGTTTGTGAAGTGGAATTACCTTCTGTCTGCTGCGCTGGACGGTGGCACGCAAGTGATGGTGTTCTTGGCTACGTTTGCGGTTTTCGGTGGTTCTGGGAACTCGGTTGCTTTCCCGACGTGGGCGGGTAATCGTGCGAATAATTTTGATTATTGCGCGTATAATGCTCAGGGCTGAAAGAGGCTGTTCTTGGGCCTTTATATCGTGTTTCTATGTTTTTACTCATATTCTGGCATACATAGCTATATGTTCTTTCAGACAAGACTAGAATACCACGAACTAGTTGTATTGTTAAAGACGACACGGGTCTTGAATTATAATCTCACCAGCGAATCCATTAACAGAGAATGCCTAAAACCAGGGATATTATTCCCACCGAATACACCCGAGGGTCTCCCTCTGGCATCTCCTCAAAACGGCCTCATAAGCCATTCGTCTGGTATAATTTCGTTCGCCGTGGCTCTCACTTCCGGGTCCCAGGTCAAGATTTTCCGTATAAACCGCAAAAACTGATCTTTCTCCTCCCCCGGTGGGATTGTTGTAACAAAGTCCTCGAGTGAGGTTTTTGGTATTGGTGGTTCGGAGATCCAATTCCCTGTAATTGCTTTGAGTGAGAATAGGCGTTGACCCGGGGGGAAGGGGGGAGACTGACCCTGTGCATCAAAGTAGGTTGAGAAAAGGGGGCTGTTCTGGATAATATTCAAGGGAGGGGGGCCAAGATATCCGATATATTGTGCTAAAGCCAATGGAAGTACATACTGGCCATGGACACGGTCAACCGGATCGAAGAGGTTTTTTCCCTCCAAAAGTTCAAGGGTCTGTATCGATGAAATCTAGTTAATAGTTTGCTTCTTACTTATAGCCGACGATTTTGTGCTCAACTCAACTCACCATAACGCCAATTGACCATATATCAACTGCATATCCCCATGGTAGATGCAAGAGCACTTCGGGAGCACGGTAGAGATCAGACATCCACCAGTCTTGATTCACGCATCCTTCGACCAGTCGCATTTGACCATAGTCTGTAAGAATAGGGTGGCCGGACACTGCTAGCATGGTAGGTCTAGATTTGTAGACAACTATCGGCATAGCCCCATTAATGGTGGAGGTTATCGGCAAACTTGGATCCTGGGATTCCTGGTCTTCAATATCTTGCAGGATAGTGTCGTCATCAATTTCCATTAAGACATTCTGGGGTGAAATATCTATTTCTCGTAAGTAGATAATTAAGACATATATAAGTGGACTTACCAGTATGGACAACGCCGCATGTTGCATGTAGCCAGTTCACAGAGAAGAATAGGCGGTGTATCAAGGATTTCACTAAAGCCTTAGGGATCATTGCATTAGGAAATGCCTCCTGTAATGTACGGACACTGTTGCCTTGAGGCTTGTATGAAATGCAATAATGACGACCAGCGAAACTTTCTGTTTCAAACATATCACGCGCAAGTCTTGTAAAGTCAAGCCCAGGATGATCCTTATCAGCAAACTGATTCAAACGCTGGAGCATGTCGATTTCGTTGAGAACGGGAGAGGACTCGGCATTATTGTTGTCAATCCGCACAGAAACCTTCAGCGAAGTATATTCATTCGCCCTATAGGTCAAGTCAGCAACCGGGGCTGATATCAAAACAATTCTAGTGGGATAAGACCTTTCATCCCGCGCAAGCCAAACAGTCGAGTAGGCACCATAGCCAAGCTTCGCGATTATCCGATATCGATCATTAAAGACCTGGCCAATTTTGACAGGGTAATAATATTTTTTATGATAAGATGGGAGGGTCTGCTCTTCGATTGCTTGACTGTGTGCTGCCACAGTGTGAGTCAGTCGATGGACGAGGGGAGGTAGTTGAAAATAACGTGGTCGGACAGTGAAAGAGAGCGGGGACGATGGGGTTTTGAGGCGCATTCGTAGACCAGCCATCTTTTACCTGCTCCGCTTCTTTGAGATAGCGTGACAGTCTTTGCTCATCACGGCTGAGGTTGCTGGGGTGGGTCAGTGAGAGCCTGGAGGATTTGTTGGCCTGGATTTGTCTTCAGATGTAAGTGATGTTAATTAAATTTTATGGAAGTACCGAATTCTAGTCACCGGGGCTTCGTAGCGTATGGTATGAGTGCAGAAATGGGAGATACTGTAAAAGGTGTTGTGAATTGTCATACCCCCTTATCCGGCAAAGGGAAGGAGTTTTAGCGCGATCCTAGCGAGTTGTAATAACGCGTTCTTATTGGCTTGTATGGGCGACGGATCGGACCACTACGACAAAACTAATTTTTGGCTCACCGCTCTAATCACCGCCTATATGATTATGGTCTTGGGCCTGTATATAATATTGCAACCTCTTTATATTTACCTCTAGTATACGTCTATCAATTAACCTTAAACCTTTTAAAGAGTAGATTACCTCTCTCTATAATAGCAGTACCATATTTAAGAGAGGAGAGTGTACTATATAAAGAATACGTATACTTTGGAAAATATCAATTTGCGTAAGGAGGAGAAGATAGTGGTATACGGGGAGGTCATATGACCTAGAATAATCTACTAGGTATAAAATAGTCTTAGTATTCATAAAATTACTTAGTCATCGATACTATAAGGTTCTAACTAGTTATTCCTCTGTCTTAATACCCTATACCAGAATTCACCGCCTTTTAGAATTCTACTAGTTCTTCCGATTTAAAACTCCTAGTCGGCAGTATATTTAATAGGAAGGCGGTCCAGGAAGACATTTTCCTCCCGAAACACTTACTTGCTTACTCTATACTTACTTACTCAGGTATACTTACTTATCAGCTTCTAATAGTCGTAATTAGTTTGAAATTTATAACTCTTTTAGAGAGGGGCATTTTAATTAATTAGACCTTCGAATTTGAACTTAATGCGACCGTTGGAAAGTGAGTAATTAGAGAAAATATAAATTGCTGTATACTCATTACAGCTGTGGAACAGCGTATGGCTAGCTGACTAATTTTCTGCTCGGCAGAAAATTAGTTTTGTCGTAGTGGTCCGATCCGTCGCCCATAGGCTTGGAAGAGTAGCCTACTACTGCTTATATTCACATATGACGAAATTCGTGCAGCGTAATTTACCACTAGACCATAACAAAAACCAAGGTTCTTGTTTAGGGCCTGGAGGGGCCATATCCCATTCTTGACAACATAGACTGTAGGTTGAAAGGTAGATTGAAAAGTAGGTAGCTAAGACGTAGCTAAGACGTAGATTGACTAGTAGGTAGTCTCCTTGACTGGATAGCCAATGAACCAATTCTCAGCTCCATCTTGCATCTTTCCAATTAGAGCCTGTTTGATCAGCAGAAATTGCATGCTTGGAGTCCACAATCCCGGCATTCGAGAATGAAACCAGGCATCCAGTCACCACATGCCTCACATTCCGCGGAGATGTTGAGCTTTTTCCATACCCCATTATGATAGCAGTCATGCTGCTCCATTAAGAATTCAGCAGCTTCCTCAACATGCTGAGGTGCAGGAGGAACAGGCTGGTTCCGAGCAGCAATCACTTCGGCTCGCTCTTGAAGCATGGCCTCGTCCCAGTGGGGACATTCGCACTTTTTCCATGGTGTTGAGCATACATAACAGAATTCGTGTTGGCAACGGCATCTATATGAGTGCATTAGCATAGGTAGGCATACTGTCAAGGAGATCATGTCGATGGAGTAAATCCATACGTAATATGGTTGCAGCCGCTACGAAGCTCGACAAGATGACTACAATTCAAGCATCTTTGTCATCCATTTTCTCTTGCGAGCTCAAGGACCTCTGCGCGGTCATCAACACATTCTCCCCGATGATTGATCTTCTTGCAGAGAGTACATGTTTGTCGGTTGCACAATCTGCAAGTTGCAAGCGTACCACGGACATTTGTTGGCAAAATGTATCGAGAGCAAGCCGGGTCCGAGCAATAAGTTCGCTGTTGATCTCCATGTTCGATCGTCTTTTCTTCAAATCTCCCCCACAGTCCATCATCGATGAAGCCACGCGCAGCTTCCAATGGCAAAGGAGAACGGCAGCAACGAGGAGGAAACAAGCTTTCATCAGCCAGGGAGTTTTGGAGAAGGCGGATGGCACACCCTTGGCAGTAAACATGTGAGCAGCCATTCCGAATCGTGTCGGGCTCAGGATAACTTTCCGAACAAGCAGTGCACTCCCGCAAGATACCCACTTCCTGACGTTGTGTGGATATTTCTGTGGCCGCTCGAACGTCCTATTGGATCCTCATTTGCTGTCGAAGCCCTGATCGCCATTGCAAAAGAGCAAGAGTCACATCATTAATCGTTCGCCATTCAATGACCTCAAAGCCTCTTCGACTTCTTGCTCTGCAGTTTGCAAAACAAGATCCGCTGTCTCAGGGTCCGTGGGATCCATAGTGAAGCAAGTAAGGGAACAAGATTTAGAAGCCAGACATAGATTTAATTTGAAGGGGTTGAGTGAAGAAGGTAGAGAGCTTGGGAAGATGGGAAAGAAGGTGCTCGACAGTAAAAAGTGGCACGTGGACACGTGAGAAGAACGAAGGAACAGCCAGAAAGGAAAGACAATGCGAACACTCATATACTTGAAAGAAGAAATATAATAGAAATGGTTTCGAGAGACCTCGAAAAATAATGAGATGTACATAATTAACAACATATTGTAGTTCCGTCTCAATTCTAACAACTAGGAACAGTATCTAATATTGCCTGTGAAACCATTGAGAACAAGACAGACTACTGTGAGCAAACAAAGTTCATGTTGGCATTGTTATCTTGCTTGATGCAATTCCCTGGACCTGGTCACAAACATTGAAATGCAAGTGGATAATGTTCTTAGGTAGAGATGGCTTTCGTATCATTATAATCTCCTAGGAGGCATCCTAGTTTAATATTCAAGTGTTTGTTTAATTGCGTCGTAGATTCCTACAAAGAAGACCATGGGTTAGTGATGAGGTAGAACGAGATAAAGGGCATTGAGTACTCACTTGTAACATCGGGCAGAATGAATTGCTCATAACTCAGCCCAGTATGTGTGCTCCAGCCAGCAACTCGCTTGACTGGGGCTTCAAGACGTAAGAATGCACTCTCCTGTATCGTCGAGGCAACCTCTGCACCCACACCGTAGTTGATCATACTCTCATGCACGACAATAGCTCGACCAGTCTTTTTGACACTGTTGATAACAGTTTGTCTATCCCAGGGATATATAGTTCGCAGATCAATAAGTTCCACATTGACACCCGGCATGGCCTTTTCAATGGCGGAGATAGCAGAAGAGCACAGGTAAAGAGGCTGTCCATATGAGATGACGGTCAAGTCCTTGCCAGGCTTGATGACCTCAGCCTTACTGAGCGGGATGGTGTAGTATTCATTCGGGACATATTCCACAGCAGCACGGTAGAGGATCTTGGGCTCCAGGAAGATCACTGGATCATTGTGCTCGAAGATAGAAGAGAGAAGGAGTCCCTTTGCTTGAGCAGGGGAGCGTGGCATGACTACTCGCAAACCGGGAATATGTGCGAAGAGCGACTCTGGGGATTGAGTGTGGTACCTATTCGATCAGTTAATGAGCATACCGACTTGCTTGGCACTCCACATAACGTACAGAGCACCGTGTCCAACCGCGCCACACGGCATGCGGATGACGAGACCCCCAACATTAATGCCTGTCCCACCCTCTCGATACCGAAACTTGGCCGCCTCATTCACAATCTGATCGAACGCTGGAAACACGTAGTCGGCGAATTGGATCTCAGCTATAGGCTTCATCCCTTCCGCTGCCGCCCCAATTGCAAAACCCGCAATGCCTTGTTCTGTCAAGGGGGTGTTGAAGACTCGATCCGACCCGAATTCTGTTTGGAGATCCATCGAGCATCGGAAAACACCCCCAAACCCAACATCCTCGCCAAACACGATAGTTCGATCGGATTTGGACAGTGCGGTCCGCAATGCTGAGTTGATCGCTTGGTAGAGATTGAGTCGTTTACTCGTGGCAGCCGCCGGGTACTCTGATGTATTTGACAAGGAGGCTGAGGTGTGGTGTAAAATCGGAGTGGTTTTGTAGTCAATAGGTAGGTTTAGCTTCGCTGCCGGAGTAGGAGCTCCAGAATAGAACCGGCGAGGAGCTAGAGCGAAAGACCGCAAAGGAGTTCGTAAAGAAGCCATCTTTGGCTAGGGTTGTGGAATATGAACAGAATGTAAATACATTAGATTTTTTTTTTGTAGGGATGATTGCCTTTAAATTGCTCCTTGTTCATTGTCCGGGGCATTGCGCGGGGAAACCGCCGCGGATAGCCGAAATGATGCAAACAGGGCAAACCAGTCACACGAGTCAAACCGGACCTATGACGAAGTCAACATGCAACATAGTAGCCCTGATAAAGGACAGTATCATGCATATATGAATATCGAATGTAGAACATAGAATATAGAATGATGGAGCTATACGCTGGTTATGCGCTGTCTCCCAATGGATCGGACTCAGTATATTCTGCAATGGTATCTTTATAAGGAAACATACATCTTTGCTCGTTTTCTCCATTGGAAACAGAATGAATCCTAGCCGTGACTATTCATAATGAGTTTCATAGCTTATATCTCTTTTTGAAACCCATCACTTATAAGCCTGTTCTAGCCCTGGAGGAGTTATCTCGGATTTGAGTTGAACGAAGATTGGAGGGGCAACGATCTATCTTATCAGGGTTATCATCTCGGACCCGTGACTTCCCCGGCCCGCATCAAAATTGACATTTTTTCCAATGACTCAACCTTCCTTTGTTTTATACTCCACGTCTTAAGTCTTCTTGAATCTGATTCAATTCCTCACAATGGCACAGGGAAAGGTATGAACTATTGCTTTCGCTCGCTTATCAGTTCCCCATGTCCCCATTCTATCTTACACCGCCACCCGATCCACACTTTCTGACAGTTCGACACAGGTTTGCCTCGCCTACTCCGGCGGTCTCGATACCAGCTGCATCTGTATGAACATCGGTCAACCCATTAACCAATTGAGGATACTAATACCGAATTTCAGTGAAGTACCTCATCGAAGAGGGCTATGAGGTCGTCTGTTTCAGTAAGTCGATTCAATGCCATGTCAATCAAGATCAACTACTAATATGAACATAGTGGCCGATGTCGGCCAGGAAGGTAAATTCAATTCCGTCGACCTATCATCCAACACCGGTCTAATAACCCATTCCAGAGGACTTCGAGGCTGCCCGCGAGAAGGCCCTGAAGATTGGTGCCCTCAAGTGCGAGATTGCTGATATCCGCCGCGAGTTCATCGAGGAGCTTTGCTTCCCAGCCATTGCTTGCAACGCCGTCTACGAGAACGTCTACCTCCTCGGTACCTCCCTGGCTCGTCCCGTTATTGCCCGTGCCCAGATTGAGGTCGCCCAGGTACGCTTTACTTCGCTGCCAGCAGAAAGATGTCATACTGACCCAAACCTAGCGCGAGGGCTGCTTCGCTGTCTCCCACGGCTGCACTGGCAAGGGTAACGATCAGGTTCGCTTCGAACTTGCCTTCTACGCCCTCCAGCCTAACATCAAGGTCATTGCCCCGTGGCGCGACCCCGTCTTCTACGAGCGCTTCAAGGGCCGCCAGGATCTGCTCGACTACGCCGAGGAGAAGGGCATTCCCGTCACCTCCACTAAGTCTAAGCCCTGGTCTATGGATGAGAACCTTGCGCACTGCTCTTACGAGGCCGGTATTCTGGAGGATCCCGATACCACTCCTCCCGCCGATATGTGGAAGCTGACCCAAGACCCCCTGACCGCCCCCGATCAGCCCGAGGACTTCACTGTCTACTTCGAGAAGGGTGTCCCCGTCAAGCTCGAGTACACTGAGGGTGGCAAGAAGAAGGTTGCTACCGACTCCGTCGAGCTCTTCCTCACCGCTAACGCCATTGCCCGCCGCAACGGTGTTGGTCGTATTGATATCGTCGAGAACCGTTTCATCGGTATCAAGTCCCGCGGCTGCTACGAGACCCCCGGTCTTACCTGCCTGCGCTCTGCCCACCTGTGAGTATTGTATTGCGAAATTTTAATGGCTTAACTAACTTGCGTCCAGTGACCTTGAGGGTCTTGTCATGGACCGTGAGGTCCGTGCTCTGCGCGATACTTTCGTCACCTACAACTACTCTAAGGTGAGCACGAGCTTTCCATGATTATATTATCTCATCTAACATATTCAGCTCCTGTACAACGGCATGTACTTCTCCCCCGAGCGCGAGTTCCTCGAGGTCTCCATCACCGCTTCCCAGAAGTCCGTCAACGGCCAGGTCCGCTGCCGTGCCTACAAGGGCACCGTTTCCATTCTCGGTCGCTCCTCCGAGACAGAGAAGCTCTACGACATGAGCGAGTCCTCCATGGATGAGATTGGTGACTTCTCCCCCGCCGAGACCACTGGCTTCATCAACGTGTCTGCCATTCGTCTCAAGAAGTACGGTCAGATGAAGGCCGCCGCTGGCGAGAGGTTGTAAATTGTTCAATTTTGAACGATTGGAATGCCAAATGTTGACCGTCCCTGGCTTCCTCGGGCCAACATGTCAAGTCTACCTGTCCAATGTTCCACCGATGTCTGATGGATGGTCTTGGGCTTGAATGACTGTATAATGAACTAGAAAATATTAACACTTAGGGAATTGGTAGCAAAAATGCAATGTCTTGGATGAATTGAACGAGCTCACTCATGCGTCTAATGAAGTGAATATTTACATCTCTAAGTATATCTACTTTAATTCGAGTCCCTTTATGGTTACCACAACCGAATATGAGCAGGTGATGTATCCTGTCGACAGAATCTACAGATTCGCATTGAGCCTGGTCTGTCCTCGATCTTCTGTCCGCAAGTTAGCACATGACATGACCACCAGGAAATCACGGAACATACCATTCCAAGTATCCAACGCCGCCTTCTCTGCATCCCAACCCCAAAGAAACTCTTGTGTCCTACGATCCGACCACTTATCGGGGTTACTTCCGCTACCCGAAGCCTTGAACAGCGCGTCTCGAGCCATTTGCTCAGGCCCATCTGGCAAATGTAACGTAATTCGATTCTTCGATCCAGACTGCTGCACTGTCTCGGCACGCGTTTTCCGGGACCTTTCATAAGCACTCAATGCATGCGGAATCTCCTCGCGTGATGAAATAGCCGACAAGATTACACCGAGCGCGGCCGCATCTTCCACAGCCTGGGCAGCACCTTGGGCAACATACGGGCTAAGGCAAGATTAGTCTTGAAAGCAACAGCCAAATCTCAGGAGCACATACAGCATGGGATGACACGCATCACCGATCAGAGCGACAGATCCCCGGATCCATGTTCTCAGAGGACGGTACAGACACAACTTCCACTCCAAAACTTCATTATCATCGACCAGATCAATAAGTTTCCGCACTGTGTTATCCCACCCATAATAGCTGCCCTCCAGTCTATCTGTTCCAAAGATTGCGCTATTTCAAGAAAAAGGCGAAATCTCACAAAACAAACATACAATTATCAGATCCCGAGCTGCTCTAGAGCCTGCACTGATCCACATCTCACCCTCTTATCTACTCCGTACCCCTGACATCATTCCCTTATAGCATCTGGGTCCTTGGCCAAGCGAGGGTACTTTGCGGCTTTCTGTGGGGGCCAACGGGTTCCTCCGGGCCCCCCAGCATCGCATAAATGTCGAATATTTACGGGTTCAAAGCAGAGCCTACGGAGTATACTGCATTTGATACATTCTCTTACCCCCACCAACCTCAATCACAAATGGGAAATGGGAAAAATGGTCATACATACTATGTAATAATCTCCGGCTTTATGGCGTGCACCTCCGATCCCTGTTCGTTGCCAACTTATTCGGGAACGGAGCCCCGGGGTTAGACAGGGGTCAGCACGGAATTAGCCAATGGGGGATATTCTATGCTGAAACCTCCGGCTGTTTAGAAACCGTTCATCTGCCGGCTACGTCAGATCATCCTCCCGCGGGAGGAGCCTTTCGAGACTGGGTTTCACTTCGATCCCTGCGAGGGCTGTTTTGGCGTAGCATGATGCATCTTGGTGGGCTTCATGGCAGATATATAGATTGGGCGTTGCCGTTGGATATTATGACTGGGGTTGGATGAGCTGATTACACGCTATATCTCTTCAAATGTACATGTTCCCTGTATGGGTGTCTATTTCCAGAGCTCTAAACATGCATATCATAGCGTGCTGTGCCCCTGAGCTTGGGCGCAGGTCACCAAGGGGTTTACGCTGTCGATTATCGGCTTTCTTTGAGAACAACTGACACCTTGTTGCCGGGCATGACTATTCAGAATGATATCAAAGAGTTACCTAGCCTTAGCATTGTTAAAGGTTCCTCGGCACTATGGTACGAACTAGTGTATACAACATATATTTTATGACAGTCAGCTGGATCGAATTCTACCATTCTCTGTCTCAATTACGCGAGCTTTGAGCTGCGAGTCATGATCTAAATTAATCGGAGTGGGTGTCATTGGGGTCATTGCTAACACGGGACAAGGGTCCATCTATGTATCTCGTAAAGAATGAGATCTCCCTATCACCTGTGAGCAGAGCTAGATGCCGACTATTAATTTACCCTGGACCATGGGGACTACTATATATATCAGCGTCCTCTGCATCTACTTACGTATATATTCTTACTTCCGTTGGAAAATATACAGGGTATTTTACCTAAACCATAACAAAAACCAAGGTTCCTGTTTAAGGCCTAGGGGGGCCATATTCCTAGTTTGACAACTTCACATTTAGAGGCCCGGCACTCGTGTAGTCAGTTAGACGAACTTGTCTACCACTTAATTGGCAATTGACGGATGGGATGGTTGTAAGTATATCCGAGGTAGACATCAATAGTGAAGAACACGTAGCAGAATATGTATGATAGAAAATCTTTTTTTTTCTTAAGATATGTAGTTCATCTAAATGTTTCTTTGGTGTTTGTATAATACAGCAGATGCCGCCAATGAACACCAAAATATGCTTGCGTGAAGGGGCTGCATAGCTGAAAGTAGTTGGAGGGAGAAGAGGAAGAGGAGGAAGAAGAAGAAGAAGAAGAAGAAGAAGAAGGAGAGGAATAGAAGGAAAATGAAGAGAAGAGGATGAAGATGAAGAAAAGGAAAATGAAGATGAAAAAGGTGAAGATGAAGAAGGAAAATAGAAAGCGAGCGACGACCATATCCAAAAAGAAATATTTATGGGAGGAAGTGACGCATATGTCATGGGTCGTCGTAAGAGTTGAGTGGATCAAAGGCACTGAATGGGCCATGTGAAGTGCATGTGCGCCCATAAATAACATCGGAAGAGTGTGGACAGGTGGATATACATGTTATGATTCTGTCGAATGGCGAGGATTGGGTGCTAAGAGGAAGATGTGAACATAAGGCGTAGCCGGCTAGGAGCTTTCTTTTTCTCCTTCTCCCTTTTCTCGGTTTCGGTGACATAGGTCCCGTGTTTAGATGAGGTACGACTGGGGACATTCGATGGCGCCTTGGACTTGGAGGAGCTTCGCCCGAAGATCCCACTCGGTTCCTCCAAAGGAGCTTTTGACCTTCGATCACGTCGATCCGGAGCGCGGGTGGTGCGTGAACGACGGGAGCGACGGGATGAAGCGACCGAGGCATCTTCATCAAATTTGAAACGAGGATCCCGTGTCGCCCGAGCAGTCGTCACATCGATGCCCGACATGGCCGCTGCGACGGGTGTGATGAACTCGCCTTCGACAGATGTTCCAGCGCTGTAGACTTGCTGGTCAGCGACACCGCGTCTCCACGTCTCAACAGAACTGATTTCAGCTGTGTTGAACTCCATCATTTCTTCCATTTCTGCTTCCGTTTTGCCGGACTCTCCCATAGCGCCAGCTGCGATTCTTTGGATAATCTTGTATCCTCCGAACATGACCACCGTTACGCCCAGACCGACTCCGGCGGCGATGAGGAATTGAGGACTGGAAAGAAGAGCGAAGACGACTGGCGCGGCTGACTTGAGCGAGGCTAATGCGGTGGGGGCCATCATGCGGGCCAGATTGCTGATCTCCGCTAGAGTCAAGGCGACGGCGGCCATGGCTTTTGGGTTCTGCTGGAGATGGGCCATGGTCGCGGCAGCACCATGATGCAAACAGTGTGCTTCTTCAAGAATCCACTGTGCACGGTTGACAAGAACATCAAGCTGTTGTTGGTCGTTTTTGGGCTCTGGGGGGTTGTATCGAGATAAGGCTGCATGAGAGGCGTCTCCATATGCAAGATCCATGTCGATATGCGCATCCGATTTTGACCGACCCGTTGGACGAGGGGCACCTCGGACCGACACATCGTGAGAGGTGTGACGGCGGGCCATTGCTGCCGATGGCCCGTAATGGGAGCTTCGACCGTGGCCGCTGTGATGCTTTGACCGAGTCCCATGGTTTCGTTCAGAAGGGGCTACCGAATCATCGATCTGATAGTTGGCGAGTCCTTCGAGTGCTTGTTGCTCTGCAATTTTTGCATTGCGTTCTGATTGGAAGGCGGACTTGCGCTCGCGATAGGCGTTTTTGGCATGGGTGAAAACACCGAATAATTGCTTACTCTAATCCTTGTCAGAGTGGTCTGGTTTCCGCCGGATATTGAACTTACCGTGCTCACAACCTTGCCGGTCTTGTCAATCACAGCGATCGTTTGACCAAAAGGCGCCATAGCAGAGAGTATGTCGTTGCGACGACCTTACCGAAAATCAGTCATCCGATGGTCGAGATCGACGGTCGATAAGGAAGCGGTGAAGGGGACACAGACTGTTTCAAAAGGAATTGTCCGGGGTATAGATCAGTATCGAAGAGCTAAGCAGGGTATAGGATAATAAGCAAGGTACAGCCCTGGAGAGCTCTCGGTTAATAAAGCAGTTGGGTTGGTAACCTCAGGCTTTGATCAGTACAAAAGGACCGATCGGAGTAACAACGAGGGTCTAAGGCCTCGGAGAAGTGATGCGGGACACGGAGGCTGGGGGGTCAAACGCATCCACGTTGGGCAGAGCAACAAACAGGACCAGATTACAGAGCTATAGGGAAGAATAATTGGATGAGACTTGAGGAGACCGACACGTATCAGAGACTAGCCAAGTCGATGAGCTCACAACACACGCACTCGAACGCTGTTGGGCGCCAAAGTCGATCTTTGCGGTATAGCTGCATGTGCGGGGATCCGGAAGAGAATTTTCAGGGAAAGGGAGATCACATTGTTATATTTAGATTCCGGCGAAGGGGCAAAGGAAAAAGGAATAATCCAGACTCTTTTGACGTAGGTACATGGGGGTGTAGTGTAGTCGTCGGCATGGGCTGTTGATCAGCTGGTGAGATAGCGCCAGAAGAGGAAGACGTGCAAAGAGCGGTGACATGTGACCTCTGATTGGCTGGGTGGGGTCACCGCCACTGTGGCTGGTGCCGGACAACGTCAGCTCTTCGTGTGGCGGTGCTGAGAGGCTTTAACATGTGAGATGACCCCGGAGACTCTCCTTTTTTTCCTCCAGGGATATAGAGTGTGTCTCTACGGAGTATAGAGTACCTATGGGCAGTTATGGGAGGTATATTCCCTCAATGACCATATCAAGACCAATAATGGCGCCATTGCTGTTGTATCACTTTCATTCCGAGTCATTGTCCGGGGTTCTTCTGGTTCTGGTAAGATGACCCTAGACACATTCATCATAGATGGACACCTGCAGCCAATGTTTCTAGTCCAGAGCTGAAGGAGAAAGCCATCAGGGGTTGGAGCGTTGCGCCCAGTAAGTCTCGGGCAGGATCTCAGCTGGGAGTACATGTAGGTATCTCTCTCTCCCTTATCAATAAAGCTTTCAAGATTCCATTGGAGTGCAGATCAACATCGGTGTGCACTTCATTGTCTTTTTCATGGACTATTTTCATTGATACTGCAAACCCACTCGGTCTAAATCTATCTCGAATCCATCCTGAATCTTGAACCGCATACTTTGTTGTACATACACTATCATGATCGGCCGTCGCCCCAGTATCCCCTTAGCACGGCTATTGTGGGAACCAAGGTGCGTCTCATAGTTCTGACTTCCTAGAATATTCAAACCCAAGCAATGGACATGCGACCGTGGCATAGAGCTCAAGCGAATGGATTCGACAACTGATGTCTTTTCTCTATAGAAGGACTTGTTGTCGGAATCAAAGGGATGCTAGGGATGGTGAGTCAAATACTTTATCGATGGTGCAATATCTTCTTGCTATTATTTCCTTTTTTTTGTCGTACCGCCTTGATGATTCATATTCCTTTTATATTTCTTTGTATTCCTGCATTCCCCCAAAAATACTGAAGCTCTTCAACCTCGAAAACCAAAAAGAAAGCAGAATGGAGTGAAGGGAGATTTCCAGTGTTCTGTTTGGTTCATTTGCAGCGGAGAGAAAACGAGAACACCAACATCACTTCACTTCACTCTCCACAAAGACCATCACAGACCATTGGACCATTGCAGACCATTGCAATTCAAGCATATTGGACTGATCATGGACTTAGTCGAATCAGAAAGCACGTCCGAGGAGGATCAGAAAACCTGGGAGTCTGATTCTCATACTCATGCCGATGCCAGTGCCCTGCCAAATAGTGACTGCGGCATCGGTCACCGCGTGCTCGCCAGTCGCTCCGTTCTCGCTCTGGCTCTTGATGAACATTGTGTTTTTGCTGGTTTGCAAGGAGGAGATATTGTCGTTAGTTTCGATTCTTTTCTGTCTATATTCTGCTACGCCAAGGCTTGAGCCTAACCGTTTCATTAGGCGTGGTCCCTGGAAACCTTTGATCTCGTGGTATCCGTCCACGCACACAAAGAGAGTGTGCTAGGCCTTTATCTCTCCGAAGATGGAAATTTACTATTTTCAAGTGGGGGCGATTCCGTGATCAATGTGAGTCATGCAATTGAAGAATCTCGGGGCCGGGATTAATGACGTGGATAGGTGTGGTCCACGCGAACATTTGAGCGTCTCTACTCGATTTATTCACACCACGATGTGGGCGATATATTTTCAGTAGTTTATTCATCCGATAACCAAACTATTTACTGTGGTGCACAGAATACCAGTATCCAGGTACTTGACCCGTGTCTGTATCCTTTTTAGCGACATTCTAACCCAGACAGTGGTGTGATCTTTCCGAGGAAGGGTTAACATTGAACCAAGCATCGTCCGCCCATCCATCCAAGCGGACGCATCGCTTCTTTGATTCCAGAGGACCGGATGGTACTCGAGCTCCCGGATCATCGGATGGTGCCGTCTCCGACGGTGGTCATGTGTTGAGCTTCAAGCGGGACCATCATAAGCTATTCGCGCATCATGGCTACGTCTACTCTATGCTTCTAGTCAAAGGCCTGGTTGAATCCGCTCCTTCCGAGGAGGTTCTTTTGACTGGTGCGGGCGATGGTGTGGTGAAGTTGTGGCGCCTGGGTCAGGCTCCTGGCGCGGCTCCATCCCAAATCGCCAAGCTACAGAATGGAGACCCTGTGTTGAGTGTTGCTGTCGAGGGATCGCTACTCTACTGTGGTTTGGCGGGCGGCGCCCTTAACATTTGGAATTTGGACTCTCAGCAGCTCGTTAAGCGGATCACGAGACATACTGGTGATCTGTGGGCTGTGCACGTGATCCAGGGTATCGCTATTTGTGGTGACTCTAGTGGAACGGTCAAGGTATGTACTGGTTTATTTTTGTCGCCTTCGAATGTACTTCCGCTGACCGCCGCTAGAAATTCAACTCTCGGTTCGAAGAGGTCGGTGGCTGGGTCGCTCACGAGGGCACCATGCTCGCCTCGGCTGTTGGACGGTTCAAGGATCGCCAGCTCTACGCTACTGGTGGAAATGACAACTCAGTAGGAATCTGGGATTTGACTGAGTTCTTTTCGACCCAGGAAGAGCTGCCTCCGATCAGCAACGGTACGTCCCATACAGTCTATTCGCGTCGAACGCTCGCTAAATTTTACCCAGACGAAATGGTCAACAGCCTTGCAAAGTTTGTCTCTTTCAAGACTATCTCAGCAAGTCCCAAATTCGCTGGCGAATGCAACCAGGGTGCTGCTTTCCTTCGGCGGCACTGCAACTACCTCGGTGCGAAGACCAAGCTCCTGCCTACCGGCCAGGACACAAATCCCATTGTTTATGCCAGATTCAACGCTACCTCGCCTGAAAAGGTGGATAAGACTATCCTCTTCTATGGCCACTATGACGTTGTGGGTGCGGAGACGAACCGACCCAAGTGGAGGACAGATCCGTATCAGCTGACTTCCATCAACGGATTCCTGTACGGCCGTGGTGTCTCTGATAACAAGGGACCCATTCTGGCATCACTGTATGCCGCAGCTGATCTCGCCCGGACGAAGACCTTGCGATGCAACGTCATTTTCCTCATTGAGGGCGAGGAAGAATCCGGATCCCAAGGTTTCCACGAAACAGTTCGCGAGCACAAGGCTCAGATAGGATCTGTAGACTGGGTTCTCCTAGCGAACAGTTACTGGCTTGATGACTACAATCCGTGCTTGACTTATGGGCTGCGCGGAGTCGTGCACGCCAATTTGGTTGTGACTAGCGACCACCCTGATCTTCACAGTGGTATCGACGGCAGTACATTGCTGGATGAACCAGTCAAAGATATTACCATGCTTCTGTCCACGATCGTCGGACGCAAAGGCAAAATTAATCTGCCCGGCTTCCACGATGCTGTCAGGCCACTCACGGACGCCGAGCAGAAGAGGTTCGAGGCTATCTCCGATGTATTACTTGTGCAGCACCCAGAGATCCCCGACAGTCAGGCGCTGATCAAGTCACTGACGCATCGCTGGCGTGAACCCGCCTTGACCGTCCACTCGGTAGAAGTCCCTGGAAGCAAGAGCGCAACAACCATCGCGCGCCGAGCCAAAGCAACTCTATCGATCCGTATCGTACCTGATCAGCACGCCGACGAAGTCGCAGCCGACCTCACCGCCTATGCACAAGAGCAATTCGCACTGCTCGACTCACAAAACGACCTCACAGTCGAAATCACTGGCAAATCCGACGCTTGGCTCGGAGACCCAGATAACGAAATCTTCGCCACGCTGTCAGAGGCGATCACCGCAGCGTGGACCCCGGTCCAAGAGGACCCGAAACTCCAATACCTACCCATCGCACAGTCTCCAAACATTCTCCCAGCGAGCAAGCCCAAACCCAGCGCGGGCCCAATCCCTGAACTCCGCCGGAAAGACTCCGACGACAGTCTGGCCTCACATGTTGAGCGGGTAATCACATCGACAACGACCTCATCAGCAGGCAAGGAAGCCGCACGCAAACGGTCCTCGCAAACGGCCTCCACAGTGCCAACGTCCTCCACTCTCACACAAGCCACATCAACGTCGGGTGAAGAGTCAGTTGCATTGCCAATCCGGCCCAAGTCTGATCCGATTGCCAGAACACCGCCCGTTGCGCCTGGCGCAGCCAAAGTGAAACCGATGTTCATCCGTGAGGGCGGGTCGATTCCAACCATCCGGTTCTTGGAAAAGGAGTTTTCGGCGCCGGCAGCTAACTTGCCTTGTGGGCAAGCGAGTGACAACGCCCACTTGGATAACGAGCGCATGCGGGTGGAGAATTTGTATAAGAGCAGGGAGATTTTCCGGTATGTGTTTGCTAATTTGGTGGATAAGTCTTGAGAGCCAATGGTGTCTAATCTCTCTTTTTTGGGGTCTCATTTTGTAAAATAACTGTCTAAAATTACATTTGATATGTATCTATTCCGGGGTTGTGGCATTCTTTGGGCATTCATTACATCTGGAGTCCTCCAGACCGATAGTCTGTAGACTCATGACCAGTCCGTATTCCACACTCCGTTTGACGCCATAAAGCCAAAAGACAACGCCTCGGGGCTTTTGTACGTAGTAGACGACCACGGCGACGCCGGGACTTTTGCCTTTCCACTTCCCAATTCTACCATGTACAGGTATCTCGTATAAGCCCCTCTCCAACGGGAAAGTTAACGCTGTCTGGATATTGGGCTGAGTTTGATGTATCCATGTCACTAGCCAGCAAGAAACTCGGCCCTAAGCCAAATAGGGGATTCCATGCATGAACGTCTAATACTCAAGATCTAAGAAGAGTCTCGGATAGGTCAATCCGTTCGATCGTGGCGCGGGGATGTGTACTAGTGCGTGGTTATTATGTGGAGATCCAAGATGACTTTCTTTGTTTGCTGGCATATGGAGACTGAGGTGATTGAGGTTTGGATATTTGGATATTTGGATGTTTGAATATTCAGAGAATTTTAAGATCAGAGAAAGGACTATAAGAAGAGGAAGATGCCTCTGCCAGTCACTTTCTAATTCACATCAAACTCATTCGTGTTTGCTACCTTCCCAAAATGGCCAAAATGTTTTCCTCGTTCCAGAGACTTCTCTCCAATTTGTCCAGGCTTTTCAAAGTCTTGGGCAATATGGGGAGTGTCTCGCCAGTCTACCTGCTGGACCGAGATGAGGCCGAGACTACACGGTATGTTGAAGTCAAATATTTCCTGGAAATATCTCTTGATCTCCCTGCTAATACCTCGTAGTCTCAATGACCAGCATCGCTTTCTCGTGGAGCTCTCTAACGTCATCCACCCATCTATTCCGAGAGATCTGACGGCAGTAGCCGACATTGGCACTGGTACTGGGTATGTTGATTTGAGAATCTGAAACCAAAACCACTGTCACACACAAGCTAACCAACTACAGCGTCTGGCTCGAAGATGTCGCCAATATCCTCCCGAACAAGTCAGTCGAGCTCCACGGCTTCGACATCTCCTCAGCCCAATACCCACGGGGCCACGAGATCCAACGACCTGGCCAGAAGCCAATCAAACTAAGCGTCCACGACGCACTGCGCCCGTTCCCAGAAGCTCACCGCGGCCGATATGACCTCGTACACATCCGACTCCTCACAGCAGGTTTGAAACAAGCAGATTACGCACGAGTGCTCGCCAACGCGCGCGCTTTGCTAAGTATGTCTTCCCTCACCTCTCCTTCTCCGCACAAAAAACCAACTACTACTCTCAAACTTGAACCCCCAACTAACAAACAACCGCAGAACCAAACGGCTGGATCCAATGGGAAGAAGTCGACCACACAGCGTTCTGCACAGACGCAGTACCCGAACCAACAGCAATAACCCGACTGCGATCATGCGTGATCGAGGCCATGCTGAAACTAGGTCTGTGGCCGTTTGCGCCGCAGTGCGTGTATGATCAGATCTCTGCGCATGGGTTCACTGACGTCGTCCGCGAGACCTACACTACTGCTGGGAAAGACCATATGCGGCCTTTCGCGCAGAAATGGGTCGCGGGTGTGATGCGTGCGCTGACGCCACCTTCTATGGTTGTTACCGGTCAAGCTGCGGATCTCACGCAGGCACGTGGGATTGTTGATGGGTTGGTTCGCGAGTTTGAGGCTCATTGTGAGTCTGCGACGGCGCTGGTTAACTTTGGGGTTACGGTTGGTAGGAGGGTTGGTTAATACTTCGGTTTGAATTGCTACTGGTTTACTGGGGTCTCTTTTTTTTCGTCTTCGTTGGCGTTGGGTTAGCACGTACTGACTGTATGTGGGTGGCGCTTTCACAAATGGAACTTTTTTATTCATTCAAACTCTTTTCTAATGTAAACTATGTCCATAACACTAGATCTGACCCTCATCCAAGATCAGTATCATCTACCATACTAACCGACTAAGAATCCATACCAGTTGAGCCCCACAAAACCGATCCGAAAAATATTTTCGAGTCTTCAACTTCAAAATTGAAATCTTCAAACTCCATATCTCCCAGAAATGGCAGCATCAATGGAAATCCACGAAGCTCCGCCTAAAGGGCGAAGCAAAGTCCAAGTTGCCGCAATAATGGTAGCGCTTTCGGTAAGATACGAACTAAATCCTCATATTCACCTACTAATCCCACTAGTTATCGATGTTTATCGCCGCGCTAGATCAAACGATCATGGCCACGGCGATCCCAACAATCGCCGCGTACTTCCACTCCTCTGCTGGGTATACGTGGATTGGCGGCGCATATCTTCTCAGCTCCGCCGCCAGCGCGTGTATCTGGGCCAAGCTTTCTGATATCTGGGGGCGGAAACCTATCTTGCTCTTGGCTGTTGGGTGGTTTTTCCTCAGCTCGATTATTTGCGCTGCTGCTACTAGTATGGAGATGTTGATCGCTGGTCGAGCGCTGCAGGGTGTTGCTGGTGGTGGTTTGCTCCAGCTGGTTACGATTATTATTTCCGATTTGTTCAGTGTCAGGTAAGATATCTTGGTTATCTGCTTTTGGCTTCTCTGTATCTGGCCTGGAGAGGGTTTACTGACTCGTAACAGACACCGCAGTTTATATCTCGGCCTGATGGAGGTCATGTGGGCTTTTGCTGGTGGTGTTGGACCGTTGCTTGGAGGTGCTTTCAGCCAGTATGTCACTTGGAGATGGACTTATTGGATCAATCTACCGGTCTCGGGGGTGACATTTGTGCTCCTTTTCTTTTTCTTGGATGTGCACAACCCCCAGACGAAAATTATGGATGGCGTCCGCGCCATTGACTGGTTCGGTAGTTTCTCTGTGCTGGGTCTTACTCTCATGCTTCTATTAGGATTGGACTTCGGCGGCGAGACGTTTGCCTGGAAATCACCGCAGGTGATCTGCCTCATTGTCTTTGGGTCTTTGTGTTCCTTGCTGTTCGTCTACAGCGAGAAGAAACTAGCCAAGTATCCCTTGATGCCCATGGATATCTTCACCCGATTCTCTAACGTTGCCACCTTGCTAGTGGCATTTGCGCATGGTTTTGTTAGTATAACATTCCCCTGATCCTTACACCCACTAACAACCCTACAGGTCTTCATTGCCGGGGAATACTATATCCCCCTGTACCTACAATCCGTGCACGGCTCCTCACCAATGAGCTCCGGCGTCCTCATTCTCCCACTTGTGGTGACGGAAGCATTCTCTGGCATGTTTACCGGCGCAATAATCCACCGCACAGGTCGATACCTAGAACTGATCTGGATCGGCCTGGTACTGATGACCATCGGGAACGGGCTGTACATCAACCTCGGTGTGGGATCCTCCGTCGGTGAGATAGTCGGGTACCAGATCCTCGGCGGTCTTGGTGCCGGATTCCTCTTCCAAACACCCATAATCGCCATCCAGGCCATGGTCTCACAGGAGGACACTGCAACCGCTACGGCAACCATCGGCTTCATTCGCAACATGGCAACCGCGGCCTCCATTGTGATTGGCGGTGTTGTCTTCCAGAACAGTATGGGCCAGAAGCAGTCCAGCTTGTTGGCTTCCGGGATGTCGACCAGCATGGCGGCTCAGATGTCTGGGGATTCGGCTGCTGCCAGTATCGAGTCGATTAAATTCATTACTGATCCCACGCAGTTGCTTGCTGTTAGGGAGGCTTTTGCTTGGAGTTTGAGGAATATGTGGATTCTTTACACGTGCATGTCGGCTGTTGGTGTCTTCTTTTCGGCTTTTATTTTGAAGGCTAAGCTGAATAAGGAGCATGTTGAGACCAAGACGGGACTGAATGTTGAGAAGACGTCGGTCGTCGAGAATGTACATAGCGTATAGATTCAATATATTTTGCCATACATCAATATCACATAAATAAGGGGAATTGATACATAAAACCTCCTTGGATTCGTCGATTGTTGAAGAGCTTTGCCAGAGCCATCAGCTAAGCTATTGGGATCCCGGTCATGAGCGAGGCGAGAACCTTTGGGTCTAAAGCCTCTTCAATACCAAACCAATAGCCAAACTCTTCGGACCTGCCCTTATCATAATCGATCTCATCCTGTATTGGCTTTTTGTTCTTGCAGAAAACCCTTAGCTCTTTGCATGCCACATCTCCATTCTTCCGAAGATAATCCGCATGACTTCGCCACAGCTCATGACAATTCGACTGCAAATCTGACTGCCATTGCCCATGGAAGACATTCCCAATGCACGCGCATTTTGTGCCGAGCCTCGCGCAACATGGTGGACCAGAATCACAATGTTTGAGATGAGAGATTCATCGGGCATGTACGCAGTCGTGAAATATTGGACAAACTTGTGGTGCTCTTTTGCTCTGATCAGCCTCAGCAGCTCCAGGGAGCGCTTGTGCATGCCGAAGTAGTTGAATAGGAGTAAAGGCTCTTCTTTGGACAAGCTGCTCTTCAAAAGGGTAAGAAGTTGCAGGGTGCCGATGTTTCGGGTATGGGACCACTTCTGTTGGAACATGACTTGCAGATCGGAGGGCTGAAGCTCCTTGCTAGTCTCCTTGAGACACGGTTCCTGAGAAAGCGTATCCAGAACATTGTCAATTGTTCTAATGCCGTCTTCTTCCCTAAAACCAGGCACATACTGGGCCCGGAACAAGTTCGCGATCGTAGTTGTTGGCGTCAGCACTCTGGGATTCTTTCCATCAGGGCGATGGAAATCTTGTCTCTTGCGCGAACCGCGGGCAAACTTGGCAGTGGACGATATGCCTGTGGCCAATTCAAGCCTATTCAAAGACTCGCTAGCGTTCTTTGGCCGAGAACCAATGAATATATGAGACTCTCCGTGAATCTTAATAAACGCTTCCATATCAGGCCAATTCAAGTTCATATGCCCATCGGTGTTTGCGAGATTGTACAAGAAAGCCAGTTGCTGGACATCATACCATGGAGTCACAAGCTGTTGGCCAACAGACTGCATCCGGGTGTTGAGATGAAACAGGCTCAATCCACAAAGGATGGCATACTGGGAGAAAAGCACATGTTTTTCTGATGCATCATAGCCTGGGATCGAAACACGTTTCCGTTCCCAGAAGGGGTCCTGGATAATCCATGAAGCCACAGTGAAGTGTATATCTTTGATTTCTTCATCACCCTCCTTGGGCCAGAATTGGGGCTGCGGGTGTGATTTGGTACCCTTGAAGTAGTCATCGATGGTTTTTGTGATACGCAGTCCAGACATCCGCAGGTCGTCAAATGCACCTAAAGTGCTGTGACGCATGATGTGATGAACGTCAAGGAGCACCTGTGAAGCGAAGCAAAGCCACAGGGTAACCTTTTTGGTCCTGCAAAACTCAACAAGTCCTGCAGTAATCGCATCGGAGGTAAGCATACGAATATCAAACTTATCGATCATGCAGAACTCTGGCATTAGCTGGACAAAAATGATTTTGTCTTCGTTGAATTTCTGGCCCACAGACATCCCCTCTCTGTTAGCCTTGGGATCGTAAGTGCCGAAAAAGCCTTTCTTGAAGACCGGAAGATGATTATCCTGCAGAACGTCTCGGAATGATTCCAGTAAGATCCGTGTTGGCAAATAGCACCACTCGGCTACATCGGACATGTGTTTATTATATGGTAGGCCGATTTCAATAGATGGAGTCGCATCGATGCCCCGGGTAAAACAAGCGACATTGAAGACCATTTCCTGGAGGTTATCGATAGAGGGGGTGGATGTGCTCCAGTCGTCCACCACCTCCTGCACAAGATCTCGGGCAAGTTGCAACGCACTATCAGTCACGATAGCAGCGTTCATAAGATCGATCTTGTTATCTCGGTACTCTGACCAGGTATGAGAGATAAACGCCCGCATGTTGTTCAAATCCTGGAACATGCAGTATGTTTTGAAGAATACGAGGCGGAAATAACTCGTGTCCTCATCCTCGTCATTCTCAACAATCTCCACCTTCACAACCTGCTTCGATTCGGGGGATTTCTGCTGTCCCTCGTGAGTCTCTTGTGGTTCCTCGACGGTGAGTACAGCAAATTTGTTGAGGAACATGTCAAGGTCGGCATCGCCACCTCCGGCTTCGGAGGTTGGAGGAGGTTGCTTACTATCCGGATTGGAAGAGTTGTTCATCTTCCATTCCAGGGTCTCACAGACCTTTTCCAGTGCGGAGATAAAATGAGTGTGTCGCTTGTTATTGTCGGAGTCGCCTTGCCCCAAAACCAAGACGTGACATGTTTCCTCAATTTGATCGCTCGTTTGACGATGATGAGAACTTGTGTAGGCACAGTGAGAGCAGACTTAGCCCACAACATCAGCCAGCAATTGAAGATCCTTAACAGTCATGGTGTACTGGACTGGATCTGAGTCATTTGCCGCCTTATTTCTGCTCTTGCTTTTTCCATTTTTGGAGGTGGGCGCGGCAGAAGTGAGGCCCTGGAGTTGGTAGCCACATTTGCCGGCTGCCTTAAGAAGCCAGGTTGCAAAGCTGTTGGTGTCATCCTTATAGCGAGTGTAGCTGCTTTGCAAGAATTTGGGCAACATGATGTCGATTGGAAGACAGGCAGGCCACTGTTGATTCGAAGCTTCCGCGTAGACAGATCCACGGATTGATCTCGGGCGGAAGAACAATGATCCGAAAGGAACTTTAATTTGGACGTCGGAGCAGCATTACGTTTTGGACCCAGGTAGTTAGACCAAGGTGATTTTATCTTCTGTTTAATTGACTGTGATTATGGCTATCAAAGCTTCCATGGAGCTCATCAGACACACGCCAAGTCAATACAACATATCAAAGCAAATAAGTTGAAATCGGTCAATCATGGCACTCCACTTTCAATACGTGTCCCAAAGGGGAAGGTGGCGTGACTATCATCTGCACTTTTTTGTGACCTCGGAGCTGACATTGAAACTGAATTACAGAAGTCAGGTGGGCTAAGGGGTGGAGGAATAGTAGAGACCTATACTATGTTGAGCTACTTTACTTTAGAATAGTACAGGCCACTCCAAGGGTTTTGAACTCGAAGATTCAACAACCTTGGGAAAAGCTTCTAGATGTACATAAGCAGCGGTCAGTTATATTATGCAGCAGAGGGGAGGTATTAAAACAAACCGGAATCCGACCAGTGAGATAGTCCTAATGGTAAGGAAATAGGTGCATGGGTGCATGCCAACGTTCGATATAAAGTGTCCGGAGATTTAGCATGTTCAAAGCTGGGGCACGGATACTCTCTTCGGTGCTCCAGCCGCGAAAGACTAGAATAAGGTACCAAGTGTATAAATTCGGGAAGACCAAGTTTTGCAGAGCTAGATGTACCACTGCTTCAGTCTTCTAGCTATATGTTTTCATAGTTATAGCTTTTATAAGGTCGGTATATATCTGGTATCGGTCCGGGGGGACTTTTATTATGACCTCGTTGAGGTATATCCCACTTAATATTTCCATAGAGCCCTATAATATACGTATCGCTTTATAGAACTATCTAGCAAACAATCTATCTAATGTAAACAATGCAAAAGAAGTCGAAAGAAATGATATAGTCATAAATGAAACTAAAGTAGAGATGTTGTAAAGGATAAAATTCTCATCAGGAATTTCCTTCAAGGTTCCATCTCGTAGATGGCTCCGTAAAAGAACCATTAACACGCCCTGTTACTCCATATACACAAGCAGTGCTAACTCTCACCTATGTGTGAATCCTTATATGTACGATTACCACAGCGAAAAAGTATAGAGACGCAACTTATGTCTATAATAAGATCTAGCTGGTACAATAGGCATAGTCTGAGATTTCTGTCCCAAAATAGGAATGGGGTTCTGACTTTGGTACAGAGTACACTCTATCTTGATAGGATCGTCACGATGAAGGATTAAAACAGAAAAATAAAATACAAACAGTCTCTATCATGAGATGACAACTGTAAGCATTTCAAACAAACACTGGGCATGGACCAGGGTCTCACGGAAATCAAGGGAATAAAAAGAAATACAAGAAGACTTACTCCCTACAGATCAGAACAGGAACCGGAGACAACTGTGATCCATATCCCTTGCAGCATAATGGACGCTGGCGGCGTTCTTTGCAAAGGCGAGTTGTTGCATTAAAGGAGATAACACTGTAAGCTGCGCGGCCGCACAGCATCGAATGACAGGATCATCGCTGTTCATATCAGCGAGCATATCCGAAAAGCGGTTAAGTGGCTCGATCATGTCAGGATCAATCGTAGGAACGAGTTTTCGTCGCTTGTTCAACTGGAAAGCCTGGATTTGCGCTTGGCCTAATGTCAACGACGGCATGGTTAGCTCTGATAGCTGAAGTTGCTGAATGCTTGGTAACTGGTGACCTCGATTAAGCTAATGACAACCTTGAGTATTCCCAAGGAGAATGCGGCTAGCAGACCTGGGTAGGCGGTCAGGGGCGGTTGAAATGCTGGAATAAAATGGATCATACCTGAGTTCTACTTTTCCTCCACCCCTTAGCCCACCTATGAACTCCCACTTCAGTTATTGCTTCTTCCTTCTGTTCTATCTCCATCACCATGCCTGTGGCTGCCACCACCGAGCCTACCCACCATGCTTTCCACCATGCCTTCCACTGAACCTGCCACGACATATGAAGATCGTCACATTGAGAAATCCGGGAAACGGTACATCTTTCCACTAGTTGCCCCTTCGCGAGCGCACTTCGGCAGGCTCGGTGGAAGGCATGGTGGAAAGCATGGTGGGTAGGCTCGGTGGTGGAAGGCATTGTCGTCGAGATATCCTTACCGATCGCTATACTATGACTATTCCTAGTCATATGCACAACTACCTAGGATCACTAGCATCAACATGGACCGCCCACCGCCAGCGAGAGATAAAACGGAATCGGCCGGAGTAAAGCAATCCCTTCCAAATCGCTTTATCCTCGATTACCGTCGTACAACAGCCACCAATCCTACCGATCCTATAAACCAGGGGAGTTGTATAACAAAAAGAGACGTGGATAATTTGAAGCGGCGCTGGCAGGAAGAGAGGCTTGGTTCGCGTACTGCAATACAGGCACTACTGGACCAACTATCGCGTGATGGTAGCTGGTTCATACGCTATACCATTGATGAATCGCAGAGGTTAAGTATGCTATTTCTTATGTATAATAGTAGCCTGGCATTACTGCAAGCCCATCCATATGTACTATGGATGGATTGTACAGGCCTCATGAATAGTGATAGATTTATTGATCTCTAGTGTATTGAGCTACCATTTTCGAGGCCTGGACTATGGTATATGTCACGTATTGAAATTGAGTGCCAAGAAAATACCTTAATTAGGTTAGACTACTCTCTGCGCGTGGCATAGCCTTCGGACTTACACCTCTAGGGTAAAGTCTTGATTGGGTACGAGAAGAACATTCAACAATGACGGCAGTTCCGCCACTTTTCGCAACACACATAACAGAATTCCCATCCACATAGGCAGCTAGACGACGTGGTCAGTTTTCAAAGGTTCTGAGATTCACGGGGGCAGCATTCGGCCTACGATATGTGCATGCTCGATATGCTCTATCATTCTAGAGCACTTTGAACATCGCTTCCACTTCTTCCTATTTGCTAGGCGTTCCAGCAAATCATCATTCATCTCGTCATCATAAGCATGCTTAGCCTTCTCCTCATTAGAAGCATGCGCTCGCTTCTTAGCAGTGGAAGCATTCTTACGCTTCTTGACCTTAGAAACACGCTTACGCTTCTTTGCCTTAGAAGCACGCTTACACTTCTCGGTGTTCTGATGGTTGCAATTACCTCTATGTCCCTGCCTTTTGCAATCGGCGCACGTTCGAGCGGCACAGGACTAGCAGATTCCCACCCCACGACGGATGTTCTGTGGCGGGATATAGCGAGAGCAGGGTGAGTTTGAACAATAAGTTCTATGACAGTCGTTGACCTCGGTGTTTCTTTCCTTGTATCTCTTCATAATCTCAATGCCTATCATATCCTCGACGGTGATAGAGGCAGCAATTGGCAGGCGGCAGCATCGAGGAGAAAATGAGGCTTCGTTTGCAAGAGCATTTTCAAAAAGGCGCACAATACATTCGCGACAATAAGTGTGAGCACATTCGGTTTGAATAATATCCGACTGCGGATACTTTTCCGTACAACATGTACACTCATACTGATCATCCAAGCCTTCATCAAGCAAGCGTTCATCGCTATCATCCGAGATAACATACTCACCTCGCGCCGCAGACATCTTCCCTAGCATTTTAGGATTTGACGAGGCTTTTTGTTCAAGCTCTTTATCCAGTGACAGGGCTGCACCCCTCGTGAAGATGCGTCCCCGAATCTTACTCTTGAGTTCTCCCAACTGTGTCATAGCTCGGTTGGTAGTCACTATGACCTGAGTCCAGATCAGAGTGGATGGGTTGATATATGAACAAAATTTTGGATTCCCTTGCAAAACGAGGTGGAATAGTTTTAGAATATCGAAAACTTTGACCATGTTTAGCAAATATTCCTTTTTAAGTGAAGTCATAATGAGGGGTATAAAGAACTTATATGCTCTTATGATAGTACTTTGTATCGTATTTACAGAAAAGTATATATAACTGAGAAGACTATGCAATTATGATGGCTAACATATGTGTCTTTTTCTCGGTGTTTAGAAACCACAGGTCAGAAAATGCCTCATTGTTGACTAGATAGTTAGTTACTGCTCAATTTAGGCTATTCCTTGAAGATAAATGAGATCGATTGACTCTAGGGCTGTGTAATATCGATCTCCCAGATCATTAGTGTATATCTTGTTCGCCCCAAGGCAAACCTAGAGCACTCCCTTGACTCGGCTAGTTCAATCATCTCATTCGTAAAGATTATCTTCGTCTGCGAAGATACAGGGACACGTTTTCCACCTTTTCCCGCAAAGATAACAGAATTCGAACTTGCAAAAGCACCTAGTAGATGTGAGTCCAAACACTCACACAGTGGAAGACAACGAAGAGAGTAATCAATGATAAATGAAATCGCCCTTACGTGATGTGATTACAGCCTGTTCTGAGCTCGACCAGACGACTGCATTTGGAGCATCGTTGCCATTGCTTGCAATCCGCCAATTCCTCCAGAAGCGCATCAAGCTTATATAGACAGGGTCCCTCGTGGGCGCTTTTTTTGCATTTTCTGCATGTGCGTACTCCACAGCTCGCGCATTTGCAAACCTTAGCTCGTGTGCCATTTCGTGGGAGGTATCGGGCGCACTTCAAATCAGAACAATATGTCCTGTCGGGGTCATTGAGCTCAATCACCTTGTCTTTGTGCTGTTGAACCAATGCGGATCCGAGAATCGTCTTCGAGGCCGTAATTGGATTGCGGCAGCATCGAGGAGGGAATAAGGATTCATCACGCAAAGCATTTTTGAATAGGCGGACCAAACAACCCTTACAATAGAAGTGCGAGCACTTCGTCTTGAGCATATCGTCTTGGAGATGATCGTCCCGGCAGGAGACACATTCACGCCAAATCTCAACTTTGGGGGTGTCGGTCAAGTTGATGGCATTTTCAATGGAATTGCCAGGTTGCCGAATCTCGACAGAGAATGAATTGGAGGAAGGTCTTTTCTTCTTATACTTAGCCAAGTGATCTTCTGCTTCTAGCCCTAGTCCCATTGAAATGGTCGTGCCCATATTCTTTCGGTATCTCATGAACGTGACTCCCTGTCTTGTTTATTATTTCTTTGGTTCGCTCGTCTCCTCGTTCTGTCCACCAATAATAGCTGTAAGACTTAGAGGCTGCGTATCCTGATCCGTATCGTAGTCCACGTGATGAAGGGGTCCAGAGTAAGAGATGTGTTATGAAAATAAATAACCCTCTTTGGCAAAAGAGAGTTGGTGGTGAGGTTGATACTACGTATACCCATGTGAATGCCCGAAAAACAAGGCCTCGACGCAGCACAAATAGTACGGTCTTTTAGCATGTAACATCTAAGTTCCAAGGAACTATCGGAGCTTATACAGTGCCTAATGTGGATATACTACGCATGGCTCTGGAATTATGTACGTATCTCGATTTTCGTTTATATAGCAATATGAAAGTATCAATTGGCTTACCTTGAGCGAAAGAAGGCAACACCACATCACTCACATAGAAGTGGTTGAGCAATTTCATATATCATCAGAATCCTCCAAGCCAAGTGTACTCAAGTCACATGTTTTACTCTCAGGCCCAAGTTCAATCAGAATAACCAGTGTATTATCCACATGGTCGGTCTTGATGAATCGCTTAGAGTGATAAAAATCAATTTTTTGAATTGATTCTCATCACTATCTCGGACAGTCGCAAGTCTTCCATTTCTTCCCGCAGTGGTAGCACCATTGGGCTCTGCAAATACAACTATCGGGTATCATTAGAAGGCCTCTTGAGTAGCTTAGAGGGTTGATAAAGGGCCAAAGAACCACTTACATGATATGAGGACAGCCCTCTTTAAGCTCAATCACACGGCTGCATTTAGTACACCGCTTCCAACTCTTCTTGTTCACCAATTTCTCCATCAACCTGTCTAGCTGAGGTACACACTTGCCCTCATGAGCACTCTTCTTGCATACCCTGCACGTGCGTACACCACACTTGCAGGTTAAAACCGGTTTAAAGATTAAATCTGGCCAAAATCTCTTTGCTGGCGAGATATATCGAGAGCATGCGAAATCTGAACAGTAGGTTCTGTCTGGATCGCTGAGCTCGGTTTGCCTCTTCTTTTGTTCTTGGGCCAATGCGGACCCTATCATTTTCTTCATGTCCGAGCCTTCGATTTGCTTGTGGCAGCATTGTAGAGGGAACAAGGATTCATCTACTAAAGATTTCGTGACCATGCGGATCAAGCAATTCTTGCAATAGAAGTGGGAGCACTGTGTTTTGAAGATTTCGCTGTGGACTTCTCTACAGGAGCTGCAGACCTGGGGCTGGGAGGAGTGGGCGGGAATCAGGGCTTTGATAGAACGCATGAGGTTCTTGAAAAAGCGAACCAGCTTCTGAATAGCGGTGGAGGTATGTTTGGCAAATATTTTCGTTCCCTTGGGAAATTGTATCTCTTTCGCCTCTCTTCCTGGCGATAGAGCTTTAGCCATCTGGAAGTAACTCGATTTGACCCTTTGTCTTTCGATTTCGGACTTCCATATATGAAGTGCCACTCTCCTGTCAGGCTCTAGTTCTTCTAGCCTGTAAGCCGGTTGAGTTGTATCCTTCGGCAATGGCTGTTCTCCGAGCCTGTGGATATTGCCATTCACGTCTTCCAATAGCAGTTCCAAGGTCAGCCGCTCTGTCTCTTTGCGCGTACCTTGGTCCATTTTTCGAGAAGGCTTCGGGCGACTGGATGCGATGGATGTTACTAGGAACGGAGGTCTCACAAGAAGGGAGGAGTAGAAAAGAAAATGCAAATCTAATTCTTTAATCAGCTCGGAAACCCTAACTAACTAAATAGTTTAGCAAAATTGGGTAGCGAAAAAGTTATTCATAAGAATGTATGACGAAGTATGGTGATTCATGCTGTAAGGATGAGGTCGACGTATGTCGATATATTTCAGTGTACAGTGTACCATTATACCAAGCTTTATGGTTTATTAGCCTGATGGAATTTTCTTTGATCTACTCCATTGAATGGTTGGTTTGTTTTGTTTCTGGTGATGTGTCTTCAAGTATACATGCCCCGGCAAAAAAGTGATGAGTCATCCGCACCCGTCTTAATCCCGCTATCTCCGACTAAAGTCAGTTCCGCCGACAACTTCGCTTCTGCAACACTATCAACTCGGACTGGCTGTCTTCGAGCGGCCAGTAACTAACCACTTGTATACTCTCTAAGCTTCAATTACACCGACGACGGCACCTGCCCAAATCGCCCAAGATGCAAGGCTTCAGTAAGTCCCGGTCCCACTCCAAAGAACATACGAAACAACCAACTAACATGCCACCTCAATAGATATGGGACGGTCAGCAAAACATCCAGATCCACATAACCCCCAACTCACATTCCCACCAGCTATGTCCCCCCAGACCAAGAAGGCCTAACAACCGGAAACAAACTCGCGGGGAAGCACGCACTCGGCGCGCGCGCCCGCCACCTGCACACAACAGGCGCGCTAATCGTGCGCTTCGAGATGCCCTTCGCAGTATGGTGCACAACCTGCAAACCGCACCCCGTAATAATCGGCCAGGGTGTGCGCTTCAACGCAGAGAAGAAAAAAGTAGGCAACTACTACTCGACGCCGATATACAGCTTCCGCATGAAGCACACCGTCTGCGGCGGGACCATCGAGATCAAGACTGATCCCCAGAACACGGCGTATGTCGTTACCGAGGGTGGACGGAAACGCGATACTGGCGAGGACAAGGAGCTGCAGCCTGGGGAAATTGCTATCAAGCCGTACGCGCGCGAGATGGATCTCGCGGAGAAGGATCCGTTTTCGAAGATCGAGGGGAAGGCTGAGGATAAGATTCGTGCGAGGACGGAGGCGACTCGTATTCTTGAGCTTCAGGAACGGCAGAATCGCGATTGGGAGGATCCGTATGAGAAGTCGATGCGGTTGCGGAGGACGTTTCGGCAGCAAAGGAAGGGGCTTGAGAAGACTAAGGCGAAGACCGAGGCCCTCAAGGATAAAATGAGTCTTGGGATTGAGCTTTTGGATGAGACTGAGGGGGATCGGCAGAGAGCGAGCATGGTGGAGTTTGGTGAGGACCCGGCTGTGCGTGCTGCCCGTATGACTCGTCTTCAGCCTATGTTTGAGCAGCGGGCGGAAAAGCCTGCACCAAAGACGCGGCCGGAAGAGAAGAACTCTCGTTCTTCGAAGCGACTTAAGAAGGATGAGTTGGTTGCGACGCGGAAAGCTTCTCTCCACCGTGAGCTGGTTGGGAATACTCGTGCTATGATTGATCCGTTCTTGGTGGGTGATGCAGATAATCAGAATGCATGGCAACCTAGCGTCAAGAAGAGGAAAATTGCCGCCTCTTCGACTCCATCCCTCCGTGAAGAGCACAGTGGCACAGAACTCGATTCCTCTGCCGTGGCGCCGACATCAGCGCTGGTCAGCTACCCTTCCGACTCGGAGTGATTTTGAATTCACCTTTGCGGACTATTTACGGACATGGAAAGGCGTTCTTTGAACTTTATTGTTTTATATTGAGATACCCACTTTGTTCTAGACTTTCGATCATTGCGCTTAAATTATCCATCCCTGCATTCTTACCACTTACGCATCTCTCGCTACTCAAGGACCAATCTAACCATTGCAGTAACGCAAAAGGATGGCACAAAGTTCAACTCAAACAAGTTGTATGTGTAGGATAAAGATATTGAAACAAGAATAGTGGGAAAACCCCGACATAGTAAGACAGGGTATCCTGCGTAGTTATTACATACAGTAGAATCACAAGAGCAGAGTGAAACAGGATTCAAAATTAAGTCGTGCTGCATCACGACTAAGAGCTCAGAAAGGTGCCATATCCACGCGAAACTCAGCGTCTCCCGAAAAATGAGACTGTTGCGGCGCGGGTGCGAGAAGGTTCTGGCTCGGGGGCTGGTGGGACTTCGGAATTAGGTGTGGTCGAGGGGCTGGGAGAGTCGGAGGATGCTTGCCGGGGGAGTTGGGCAAGTTCGGCAATGAGTCTGGAGGGATCAGCATGATTTTCAATACGAGCTCATATTTGACTGACCTGTGGTGCTCGCTGTACCAATCCTCACTGGCTGTTCGGATGTGCCTAAGCTGTTCTTGGAGGCTGGCCATCTATGGAATGTATTAGTCCTCTGTATACGCTAAATAGTCTTCATAATCATGTGAATGGGTGGAATGCGGGAAGATCTGATGAGTAGGAAGACTTCTTCAATCGGGGATCTCCCACCGTTCCCTCAATGGATGGGCCTAGGTCCTCACCTTCCGTTGTGGCTGGACCCCCATCTTCAGCGTTGTCGCTACCCTCATCAGCTGTCGCCCACCGGCTAGCGTCCAAGCCCGAAGAGCTGCTCTTCTCGCCACTGTCCGCCTTCAGAACTGCGAGCTCGGTTTCGAGTTCGCGGACCCGTCGGCGGCTGGCAGAGATAGCGGAATCAACATCGCCAAGCTGGTTGAGGAGACCCATGTTCTTGTCGATCTGATCATTCAGGTCACGTTCGCCAGCTTCAAGCTTCTCGGACAAGGTCTTGTTTTGGTTCCTGCAATCAACGAGCGAGTCGGAGATGGCGGCGTTATCGGCCTTGACCTTGAGGAGCTGGTCGCGGGATTCAGAGAGCTGCTTCATAATCGACTCAAGGTGCGACTTCTGGCTGTCTGAGTCCTTGGCAAGCTTCTCGAGTTCACCCACCTGGGCGACGGCGGCTTGGTATTTCTCTCCAAGTGCAGCATGGTCGGCCTGGATCTTGGCGAGCTCGGCTGAGTAACCCTCAATTTCCTTGGAAGAAGTGGTGGCAGATTCCTGTACCGCAAGGTGAGCCTTCTCAGAATCAGCAAGCTTGGCCTGCAGATCTGCGACAGTGGCCTTTAAGTTATCCAGAACGGAGGTGTCTTGGGCAGCGGCCTTGGCCTGAGACAACTGCTCGTTGACACTGGCTAGTGCTGCATCATGGGCCTTCTGGAGATCGGCAATCTTGGTCTTATTAGAAGCCTCGAACTCCTCCCTAAGGCCAGACAGCTTAGCCTCGTTCATAGTTAGAAGCTGCTCGATCGCCTTTCCGTGCTCGGCATCGATCTCAGCAGCCTTGGAGGTATGAACAGCCTCAATCTCAACCTGCAGCTTGGCTTTGGTCTGTTCGAAGCCCTCCAGCAGTTCGGCAATTGCTTTGTTGTGCTCAGCATCGAGGTCAGTGGCCCTGGAGGCCTTGGCAGCCTCAATCTCAACATGCAGCTGAGCTTTAGTCTTTTCAAATCCCTGCAGCAGTTCGGCAATTGCCTTGTTGTGCTCAGCATCGATTTCAGCAGCCTTGGAGGTTTGGGCAGCCTCGATCTCAGTCCGCAGCTGGGTTTTGGCCTCTTCAAAGCCCTTTTGCAGTTCGGCGATTTGCTGCTTGTGAAGCTCGGCATCAGCTTTGCTGGAACTCTGCAAAGCGGAAATCTCGGCTTGCAACTTCGCCTGGGTTTCTTCGAATTGATTTTGGAGTTCGGCGGTCTCCTTTTCGCGACCCTCAGTGTGGGTAGCAATCTCAAGAGCGTGGTTTTCGAGTACCGCCTTCAATTCAGCTTCAAGCGACTGAATCCGGGTAGCGTGGGTAGACTCTAATTCCTTGTTTGTGGCAAGCAACTCATCGTGCTTCGTCTGAAGATCACTCAGAACGCTTTCATTAGATCCCGATGCCTCCTTGACCCGCTCTAATTCAGATGCAAGCTGAGCAGCATGTTCAGCCTTCAATTCTTCCAGAGCCTTTGCGTGCTTCGTCTCAAGATCACTCAGAGCGCTTTCATTAGATCCCGATGCCTCCTTGACCCGCTCTAATTCGGATGCAAGCTGAGCAGCATGTTCAGCCTTCAACTCTTCCAGAGCCTTTGCGTGCTTCTCGGCCACATCCGCAGCCTGCAAGGTGTGTTGCTCGAGAAGCAATACAGCTTCTGCAGCCTTCTGCTCCAGAGCCTTCATCTTATTGTCCTTCTGTAAACCTTCTTGCTTGGAGTGATCTTCGACATCCCGTAGAGTGCGGGAGATCTTTTCGGCTTCAGCTTGCTTGAGCTGCATCTCTTCGAGCAGCGTGTTGATTTTCCCAGTGCCAGTGGTCAGCTGTGATTCCAGCGACTCACACTTTTGTCGAAGAGCGTCAATCTCTTGGATGGCAACATCTTGTGCGGAGGCATTACCCTCATCCAGTGCACGGCGGGACTCACTGAGGGCATTCTCGGAAGCCTCCAGCTGTTCTTGTAGCGATTTGAGTTCTGCATCATGTGCGGCCTTCAATTCAGCAACGGCATCTTCTTGTCCCTTCTGGGCAGTGGCCTTAGACGCCTCGAGGGCATCACGGAGTTCCTGGAGTTGCGTGGTGTGTTCTGCCCCGCTCGATTCCGCCGCCGCTATGGCACTAGTGAGTTTCTCCGCGTGGGAAGCCGAAATCTCACTGATAGCAGTTTCATATTCGGCCTTGAGGCTTGCGATAGCAGCCTCATGGGCAGTCTCCAACTCCACAACCTTTGATGACAATTCAGTGGCCGCGGCGTCACGTGCCTCCTGGAGCTCACTTTGAATCTTCTCAAGGGCCTGCTTAAGCTCGGTGATTTCTTGATCCTTCTCGGCGATCAAAGGGTTCTCCTCGGAGCTTTCCTGGGTAGCAGACTCAGCCGCAGCAAGCTTCGCCTCGAGTGCGGCTACTTGCTCTTGAAGACCAGAAACATCTTCCGCAGCACGGACCTCCTGCTCCTTAAGTGTAGTCAGCTTAGCAATCTCCGTGTTAAGATTTTCTAACACCTGATCACGGCCCTTGAGTTCTCGGTTGAAATTTTCGAGCTCTAGAGCTTTTTCTTCCTCCAGAGCAAGCTTTTGGAACTCGAGTTCCTTCTTCAGAGCACCGATCTGCTCCTCGAAGTGAGTAGCTGCAGACTTGTGCTCTGCCAGCTCTTTTTCGATGGCCTCAAGCTGGGTTTGATGTGTTGCCTTGAGCTCGTCAAGCAGGGCAACTGTCCTGTCATCCCCTTGCGCCGCGGCGGATTGCCTGGCTTCCTCCAACTCCTTTTGCGAGCTCTCCTCCAGTTCTTTCCGTTGGGACTCGGCTTCGTCTAGTCGCGCTTGCAGGGCCTGGAGCTCGTCGGCATGGGCTGATGTCAATTTCTCGATCTCCGCGGCGTGATCCGCGCGAATAGCCTCGGTGGCACCAGTATCACCCAGGGGTTCTTGGGCCGAGACAGAAAGCTGGCTGAGCTTCTCATTGACAGTCTCCAATTCAGACTTCAGACTAGCGACGGTCTCCTCGCTCTCGGTGAGCTTAGTCTGGAGGGCCTGCAGCTTCTCAGAATCACCAGCACGGCCAATTGACCCAGGAAGCGTACTCAATCGCTTCTTGGAGTCGGTGGCAGTGACAGGCCTAGCGGTGCTCGTAGTCGAGGGTGGCCGAACAGTAGCAGGTCTAGCGGTGGAGGTGGAAGTAGCAGTCCGGCTTGCAGGTGTCGTCGTCGAAGTCAGCCTGCCCACGGGCTTGCTTGTCGAGGTCGCGGTCGCAGTGCGCGCAGTTGTAGTGGCGGGCTTCCTCTCGGCAGTGGGGCCTGCGACGCTCGATCTACGATCGAAAGAAGAGGTGGGTTTGAGAGGAGCGCGGGTGGAGGCTGTACCGGCCATAGACATGCGCTTCGCAGATCCAGAAATTCCGCGCCTCTCATCTCCTGAGCTCGCCACAGACCGAGGCTTCTCATCTGCAGAGCTGCTGACTGACTTGTGAGACCGGTGGGACGAGACAGTCGAGGTGCTCAGTTGCTTCCGGGTGGTTGTCGTGGCCGGGGGACGAGTGGGAGGTTTGTTCAGAGTGCCGGAGGTCGGTCGGGTGGTACCCGTCGTGGGTTTCGAGGCGGAGGATGAGGTGGGCCGTTTGGTGGTGGATGCGCCAGACACAGGACGCTTCTCGGTGCTCGGTGTATCAGGGCTAGCCTTGGCCGGAGAGATCGCACGGCTTTCTTTGGATACTTCGGGGCTGGGCTTAAGCAACTCGTCGCTTTCGGAGACGATGCTCGAATCTATCGGGGTAGCTGGGGGCTCATTTTCATCGACCTCCACAGGAGCAGGGGCGACGACCGGTTCGTTGTTTGACGACATATCGGTGGATTGTTCAAGATTAATGTATTAAAGGGGGCAAGCTTCGTGGTAAGGTTCAGTTGGCATGTACCAGTAAGCTGTCTGCGAAAAGCGTTGTCAGCTGTTAAACCCCTAAACGCATATATCTGCGACTGGTATGCTCGGAGTCGCAACCCCAGATTCAAGCTCTCGAATCGATGCAACTGTAATGACCCAGTCAGGGGCTTATAGCGCGCTGGGCATAAGCATAAAATCATTTTGCCCCAGTCGTTCAAGGTATTCCAGCTATGCCCATGGCAGAACTGGGTCATTGTCCAGCTCGACCGAAGCTCCCGTCTATAAACAAACATGCAGAAAAGAGAAGAATGTACTCACGCGCCGCACAACCGTTCCAAAGGGGAATCTTCACAATTACTTGAAGACTGATCTCCAGACCAAGAGAAGTCTAGCACAAGTTTTTTAAAAAAAGAGGAAATAAACCGACAAAAGCAAATGTTGTCAGGATGCTTTGGGGGAGAAAAGGGGAAAGCGGGAAAAAGAGAAAGCGGTGTCAATTTAGGAGGGGGGGATCGCCGCTGCTCTATACTTTGGAGCCTTTCTTTATAGACCCCCTACATGGGTCGTGCATCCGGGGGATCTACTTAGATTGTCTCTGTATTTATCTAGATGATCTGAATACAGTTAATATAGGCTGGCTTTGACTGGGTTCAAGATCAGACTAATTATGTACATTATTTGCTCTATAGTATTTGTTTTGTAGCTTTGGAGCTTTGTATCTACATATGTACGCATTATAATAGCTCCCTGAGTCCTGGGAATCTCCTCAAAGTACCAGGCTATGTACATGTAGGTACCCAAGATGTCTAAGACACAGAATCAGGAGCACAAGGACGAAATTCCTCCTGATGCATAACCAGCCCTGACTATCTCGTGAATATTAAACCTATGCGCGAATTTTACCAAAATACCTATATTACCGCTCATAGGAAGGATAATAAAGCTTCCGGGTATACTGTATTCAATGTTGACATGATATTTGACATCCATGGATGTTCAAGACAATGCCTGTGGTTCGCGGTTTGTGGTTCGCGGGCCGACCCCACATGAATATCTCGGCCAAATATAATACATCGACACTTTTGGTCTCTATGAACTCCATTCTCGCAAAAGGGTATTGAAATCGAGCCTACTATACAATGCCGCTAATATCACTCCCGATCTTGTCTCTCCCAATTCTCAATTAGGTCATGGATCGTCCAACCCGAGTTTGACGGCTTGGCCATGGATATGTTGCAGGATGCGCTCGGATAGTTGACCGCCGATTGCGTTGTCACACTTCATATCAATATATCGATCTTCCCCTGTTGACACCGTCAGAATAGCATATAGCGTGAGAAATGAAAAGTCTTACCCTCATATAATTGTAAACCTTCACGGAGTGCATTCGTCTCTGCATGGGTCCACCGTCCACAGGAGATATGGCTATCGACCTCTTCCAACTCAAAGGGCCGATATGGTAGATGGCGTTGGGGCATGCGATGAGGTGTCTCACGTAGCCGGCCGTCTTTCAGTGCATCCTTCAGAGCCTTCACGTGTCGCATCGCTCTTTTAGAATGAGCCACCACGCCCGCACTAATATCATAATTCACCTCGACGAGAGAAGATATCCTATCACAGGAACCCCAAAGCAAATCCAGGATAATGCGGAAATGTGGCGCCACCCGATCATGTAATGTCCTGTAGGTTTTGAATCCAAGTATGACCAGGTCAATCAGTCGGGGAACAATATGGGCTTCGAGCTGATTGACCAGTTGGGCACCATCATCTTCATTCTCTGGGGCTTCGGTGTAAATGATCCACTGATTCTCTTTAAAGATGCTGCTGGCGATGAGGCTGCACTGGTTTCTCAAGGAAGAAGCCGAAGCAGGATCATTGATCATTGTTGCAAACACACCTCGTAGCCGCTGAATGAGCTTTACGATGCCCATAAAATGCTCTTTTGTAGAGGGAGCAGCTTGGGCCTTTAGAATTTTTCTTATCTTGCGAAGTTCGTCCCAGGTTTCCTTGAAACCAGATTCTTTCGTGGTCTCGGTCAGCCACGTGAAGATATCGGAGCGAGCGCTGCGATGGTCCTGATTTGGGCGCGATGGCTCGATTGTTGGTGACTCTGGTACTTCCAAAAGCTGCGACGAGGCATTCTGGAATTCTTGAGTATTTTTTGACACGCGACTTACATGTGTGCCATCCCCTTGGTTTCTTGGTATACTTTCGGGGATCTGCACGTCGGGTGTGTCTGCATTTGCAATATGCTGGGTCGGTATTGAATGATTCTGGACTTCGGCGGGAGAATTCTCATCTGCCTCTTCTTCTTCTTCTTCATATTCATCATCATCATCATCATCATCTTCATATTCCGGGTCCTTTTCAGATGGATTGTCTTCTGCATATATGGCTTCCTCCCCAGCATGAGCATCCGTCTCTTCATCATCTTCGTCATCTTCATCTTCGGATTCGTCCTCAGATGGATTGTCTTGTGCATCTCTAGATTTCTCTCCGGGCTGGTTATCTGTCTCTTCTTCTCCTTCAGATCCATATCCGTCCCCGGATGCATCTTTCTGTGCACTTCTAGCTTCGTATCCAACCTGACCATCAGCTTGATCCTCGTCTTCGGCTGGGAACAGATCGACTGGTTCGGGTAACGGATCATGTTCAGCCTCAGGCTGAAGCTCGTCGCAGTTATCATCCAATTCCTCTTCTAAACTGCTGCCGGGTCCATTTTGAATTGATTGGGACTCGTCATCGCCTGACCCGGATTCGTCGTTGCTGGGCCCGTTGTCTTCTTCGTTTTCAGAAACGCTGGGGGGTGAAACCGGTGGCGATGGCCTAGGCACTTTACGGGTTCTCAGACTCAACCGGTTCGTATTTTTCGGTTCAGTTTGAGGGGTCTTTCGAGCTCTTGTCGGAGAAGGGGAGAGAGGAACATCATAGACATCGGCATCGGTGGTGCGGCGGCGCCTTTTAGGTTCCTGTATATCCGTGGAATTGCGCCCGAGGACATTGATATTATTCAAGAGTCCAAGAGTGTAATCGGTAGATCGATGTCGATGGGTGGATCTTTTTGGCGCCATCTTCAAAAACGCGTGGGGAAGTTCAAAAGAATGACAACACGCGGTGAGGGAAGAGCTCTGGTGGAGCCGCAAATAACATCCCGCTTCCCCTCCAACTTTCTTTCCTCATCCCACTCCGACCTCGGATTTTCTCAGCAAACATGGCTTACGCCCCGGCTATTCGTGTGTTGGCCACTTTGGACTCTGCAGAGCACGTATTTATCGAACCGAACAAAAAAATTCACGACTCGCAAGATGTATCGGCTTTCCTGACATCGAAAGCTTATACTGATATCATGACGTGGATACTACAACTCAACCGATCTATGTTTCCACTGAAGCTTGCCGATGACACTATACAAACTTGGACTCTCAATAGCGATGCGATACAATACTCTGCTCCGATCCGACAATTGCAGCAACTTCTCTTGAAACTAGAAGATATCATACAGGAGGTCCCACCAGATACCGGTCCGCGGAGGTTTGGAAATATAAGCTTTCGGAGATGGTCTGAGGTGGTCGAAAGTCGCGCATCCGACCTGCTGAGGGAATGCCTACCGGCCGACCTCTTGGATAGGGGATCATCGGGTGAGAGCGCAACAGCGGAGACCGAGTTGAAATCATATTTCTTGGGCAGCTGGGGAAGTGGCCAGCGGTTGGACTATGGTACCGGTCATGAACTCAGCTTCCTAGCTTTCCTAGGTGGAATATGGAAGCTGAATGTATTTCCCAAGGCCGATCCAGGTGTGGAGGAACGAGCTATCGTGGTTGGGGTGATCTATCCGTGCGTCTACCCAGAATCTACCACGCCGGATATGCCTCGTCCCCTACTGACTGTCGTCACAGATACCTGGAGCTTATCAGACTACTCATCAAGACATACAACCTAGAGCCTGCTGGCTCCCACGGCGTCTGGGGTCTTGATGATCATTCCTTTGTCCCTTATATCTTTGGATCCGCACAATTATCGCCTGCAATCAATGATACTGACCTGACTCCCGAAGAAGGCTCACTACTTAATGCACCTGACCCAGCTGGGGTAGCCAATGCAAAGATTGTTGAAAGGGAACGCCAAAGTAATCTATATTTCTCCGCTATTGGATTTATTTATGATGTGAAGAGAGGCCCATTCTGGGAGCACAGCCCCATGTTATTCGATATTTCTGGCATTCGAGCTGGCTGGGGAAAGATCAATAAGGTTCGTAATCTTTAATCAGTGGGGATGTTCACGCTGACATGTTGCACCAGGGAATGATCAAGATGTACAACGCGGAAGTTCTTTCAAAATTCCCCGTGGTACAGCACTTCCCTTTCGGATCTTTGTTCAGTTGGGACCATGATCCAAATGCGCCTGTACCCCCCTCCACGGTTCATGCCACATCTGGTCCTCAGTCACGCCCTATTGCGCCGGATTCTGGCCACCCGTCTGTTGCCGCTACCCGTTCTATGCCCGGAGCTGGTACCCAGGCTCCCTGGGCTAAGCCCGGCGCAGGCACGCAAGCTGTTCCTCCGATGGGCTCGACAGCAAGCCCATGGGCTGGGACGAGAAGAGAGGGAATGCCTAGTGGTACGACCAGAGTTCCCTCTGCTCTTCCAGATACTTCAAGGATGCCTCCAGGTCCCATGTCACCCGTCAGAGCACCCTTTTCTGCTCAGTCTCGGCCTCCGCCTTCACAGGATGGAAGTGCCAATGTGCATACCAAGGCTCCCTGGGCAAAATGACCATAAGAAAAAGAACACGAATATCAATGTGCACTGTTGTGCTCCTGTAATAACTAGTTCCTGTATCAATTTGCAGGCACCTATCAACCCTACGTTGACCCTCCAAGGCTGTTTCTCTAGAGGTCCTGTCAGTCCATTAGTAGTCTTGGATCAACCTTGGAACCTCGCCAGACCCATCGTTCTGGGACACATTTTAGTGACCTCGGTTTCACGTCATGGATTTCTCAGGCCTTGCAACGCCAGCATATTGTCTCCGGTATTCGTAGTTCGGCCAATACCGGAGGTTGCCTGAGCCGCGATGATTTCATAGCCGACTGCCAAGAAAAGTCGGGACGGAGTCCACCCCATGCCAAGCCCTCGGGATCAGTGCTGCCTATAATTTTCACCTGTTAAACTGAATCCAGATAGCGAAGTTAGAAACATCATTCAAATAGCACTATGAACTGCCCATCTCGGACTGACGACACCTTGCTGCACGACGGGTGGAACCAGAGCCCGCGCTTCCTTTCTCCCGACCTGACTACCCGCCAAGACCTCGATGGCATCTCAAACACCCGCGAGAAGAAAGACGATGAGTCTGGTCCGGGTACTTTGTGGGGAACCTCCAATTGGAAGGGCATTCCTACGCTGGAGGCAAAGGATGCAGGCAATCACCTTGGCGCGGGGTGCGAGGCGTCCCTGACAATGTCAGGTATGAACAAGCATATATTCTGAATTAATAACCTTCTAACAAGTGAACAGGACGTCTCGCTCCCCAAATTACTAATATCGGAATCGGTCACGACGGACTGAATCCAAACAGCAATGTTTTCCCATCGTATCAGAGTATCAAAGATTGGGCGTTGTGGCTCCTCTCCGTGCTTCTTGTCTCGGCAGTCATCTCCTTCGATAGTCTGAGACGGTATTTCACGCCAAAGCAAGCTCTCACACTGGAAGCACCTGTTGTAATGCCGTATACAGAGCCAGTCAAACGATCAAGTTGTGCTCAGGGAGGTGACCGCGGTGCATACGACCTACCTTTGCACGTTGCGGCCCTCTTCATCATCCTGGCCACCTCAAGCATTGCGTGTGCATTCCCTATCCTTGCAACTCGCTTTCCACGAATGCATATTCCACCTGCGTTCCTTTTCTTCGTCACCCATTTTGGAACGGGTGTCCTCGTCGCCACGGCATTTGTGCATCTCCTTCCGACCGCATTTACTTCGCTGGGAGACCCATGTCTCTCTAATTTCTGGACAAAGGACTACCCAGCCATGCCGGGTGCCATTGCCTTGGGTGGCATATTCCTCGTTACAGTCATCGAAATGGTATTCAGTCCAGCCCAGAGTATCTGCCGTGGAGGAAACCAGGTCCCAGCCGAAAGGCCAGCTCCCTGCCCTGCGGATGCAAGGACACCTCCAATTCCAACTCTCGGTGTTCCTGAGTATCTCGACCACTCTATAGTGCCGCGCTCGCACTCCGTTGGAATGGATGGCCGACATTTGCGAGATATGGGTCCGCTAATTGGAAGGTCCGCGAGCATAAGCCGAGCGATCAATCGAATGGGCGAAGGGACTGAAGATATAGTTCGAGTTTCATCTGCGCCTGATGTTCCAACTCATCACGAGAAAGATAACGGGACTATCCAGACAGACGTAGAGCGTCGCGACGATACTTTCGCCTTAACCCCGGAGCAGAAGCAGAAGAAAGAGACCATGCAGGTCTACCTTCTTGAAATGGGCATTCTTTTCCACAGCGTGTTCATCGGCATGTCACTCAGTGTGTCGGTTGGCAGTGACTTTGTGATTCTGCTCATTGCAATTGTATTTCATCGTGAGTTCTCCGTATTCGCCTGCTTGATCGGGGCAGTGCATTTGACTAAATCAACTACAGAAACATTTGAAGGCCTGGCGCTTGGATCCCGCATTGCCTCACTTCCCTGGTCAGAAAAGCAACTCCAGCCCTGGATCATGTCCCTTGCGTACGGATGCACGTGAGTTAATTCCCCACTCACTCTGGGCCCAATGGTGCTGACAAAAGACTAGGACTCCAATCGGGCAAGCTATTGGCCTCGCAACCCATACACTTTATAGTCCCGACTCGGAGGTTGGTTTGCTCGTTGTCGGTGTTATGAATGCCATGTCAGCTGGACTTTTGATTTTTGCCTCGCTGGTGGAGTTGATGTCGGAAGACTTTCTCAGTGACGAGAGCTGGCGTATTCTCCGTGGGAAGAGAAGGGTTTATGCCTGCATCCTGGTATTTTTGGGTGCTTTCTGCATGAGCATCGTCGGTGCCTGGGCCTAAACGCTGCGGGTGTAGATGCTCTGGAATATGTGTTCTGGTCGAATTCCTTCGTTGATAGAATCGCAACTGGTCTAGATTTCGGGGTGCGAGCCTGGATATAGAACGTTAGTCGGTGGCGGGAATATAATGCTTTTCGGTTTATATAGCAAAAGAGATTGGTACCGACAGAGTGGGTTGATTGTAACCCCCAGTGCCAAGTGCATGAGAACATCGTGGCTTCCCTGAGACGGGTCCAATTGAAAACAAACAAAAGGCAATGATCATTCCATGATATCAGAATATCCTGTTAGAAAGAGCTACTCCACCGCTATATCACGAGATAAGTGGAAGGAAGAGTGAAGGGCTGACATGGAGAAGGAACAAAAAAAGAAATCCGTGCCCCAACTACTCCTGGCGAGGATCGGAACCCTGACCAGTTTCCCCATTGCTGGGTTTCCCAATGCGGTATCACCCGTGATCAATGTTTCACCCAGCAATCAGATGACTTCGTGTCTCTCACCCACTCGGCCATCCAGGGAGGATTTTGACTTACTACCTTGAACTAGGGTCAAATAGACCACTTGGGCATCATTTAATCAAGATATCCATTAGCTAGCACTGGTTTTCCTCGACCCCATGCCTTCTTTCAGTTCAGGATCATTCACCATCGACCCCTACACTCTCGGTCATATTCCTCTTCGTTGTAGCGATTCCATTCGTTCCGCAGATCACTGGCTGTCCGGACAGAACTATCAATCCGCTGCCCTCGGAAATGGACATCACCATAGCAGTTGATCATCCCAACAATATCACCATTACCTAAAAACTCAATCCAACCATCCTGGTCATCTGCAAAGCTCATCTCACCCTCACCGGTCTCCCGCCCACGCCACTTAAACGGAATTCTGTCAAAGGAGGGCCTCATGGGTCGTTGTGGCATCCACAGTACACCCTTAAACGCCCCGAGCTCGTATGTCCCCCATATCTCATTCCCATTAAGGCGAAGAGATAAGAAGATTCCCCCGCGAACAGCGTCCGGCCACTCGCACTCAATACGGGGGGAACGAACTTCGTACGTTCCATTGAGAAGACCCAGGGTGTTTTTCAGGGCTCGAGGTGGAGATGGTGGCTCTGAGCATGTTTCAGACTCGCTATAATGGCCAAAACCAAACTCGTTCGGACCGTCAATGTCCATCTGGTCATCTAAAGCATCATAGGGATGTTCTCCGTCCTGATTAGGCATATTAGGTAAGTATCCATTGCGTTTGTGAATGAGGGAGAATATATTTACCATTCTGCAGGCGATTTCATACGAGGGAGGCGCATCCTGATGCTCAGGCTGCTCAGACCATCCACTCGGCTCGGGGTAGCTGTTTGTGGGCATATTTGTGTTGTCTTGGGCCTTTTTGCCATACACGCGGCGTTTGGCGGTCTGTGGTTTGTCGGCTGTCTCCTCGCCATTCGAGGCCCTCTTTCTCTTGGCTGGGGCAGATTGAGAGGTAACACTTCTGGCTGTCGTGGCTTTGGGGGCAGCGGCCCTGGGCGCCGTAGCCTTCTTGGGGGCAGCCTTAGGCGTAGCTAGGTTGGCAGTTGCAGTTTTGCCAGCAGCAGGTTTGGCCGCGGCTTTAGGAGCAGCCTTGGTCGTGGTAGCTTTGGCCGCAGCGGTTTTAGCCGCAGTGGCCTTGGGTGCGGGATCTTTCTTGGAGGTAGCAGCTTTGGACGTAGCAGCCTTGGGAGCCGCAGTTTTGACGGCTGCAGGCTTGGCCGCGGCTTTGGACGCAGTAGTCTTGCTCTCGGTGGTTTTGGACGCAACCGTCTTAGAAACCGTAATAGTCTTGGTGGTAACAGTCTTCGTCGTTGTGGTCTTCGTATTGGTCTTTGCTGGTTCCTCCGAATCCTGCTTCTTCCATTCCTTCTTCAGATTCTTTTCGATTTGGAGGCTTTCCTTGGGAACACTCAGGGCGCCGTCTTGCACGGCCTTTAAGAGCCTCATCTTAGCAGTCGCCTTGACCTTTGACGGTGGCAGGCCATAGTGAAGGAGCTGCGCTTCATACCAATGGCCTGGGTGGTCTGGTGTGCTCTTGTCGGTAGTCGCGGTATCGTAAAGGGCTTTGATCTCAGCTGGCGCTGCACGGCGGTGAAGCTGTCCTCCCGACGCGGCGACATAGAATGTGTCGATATTGAAGGAGAACTGACCATCGGTGACAGGCGGCATGACGGGCTTGTTGTCTGAAAGGTCGAAGACACGGGGTAGAAGATAACTTCGGAGGTGGAGGAGATGTGGGGCATGCCACGCTACCACGACTCCACCTTGATCCTCATCTTCATATCATCTTCAACCCTCGATTTTCTTGGATTTTTCTCCCTTCTCCGGAGACGTGACATCTTTCGGCTTTGGTGTGTGCTGTATATAGCGTAGTTGTACAAATCTTACAAATCATACATATATTATTGACCTTTCTAGGCTCATTTAAATATATACAGTCAACGATGTTATGTCTGACATTTGGGTATCATTTACGAAAAGTCCACCGGGGGAAGCTCTCTCTGTTCCAGAGCCGCCTGAACACTATTCTGCATGGTCTCTATAGCCTCTTCCCAGCTTATAGTTCCCTCGGGCCGAGACCCCTGTGGCTCTTTAGGCCTCTGCTGCTGCGAATGCTCACCGACCAACCACATCAACCAGCGCACCACTGAAACAGCCTTATCCACATCTTTCTCTTGCAATGTCACGCTGGACAGATATGTACATAGCGAAGTAACATCTTCGCTGTATGGGCCGCCAGCCGCAAAGACTTCATGCCATGAGCCAACAGCATCTCGCAGATCTGGTAATTGGGACAGACGCTGTGATGTAAAGACGGGACGTTTAGGGAGAGGTGGTAGAGGTAAAAGTTTCTCTACAGCAATTGGTGCAGAAGGAGGAGCCTCCTGATCCCTAGATGGAGGTCTTTGTGCGGTTTCAGTAGCTCGCGAGCGCTGTTGCATGCGGGTGCGTTTTTGTTCTTCAAGAAGCTCTTGTCTGATATCTTCAGGTAAAGCAGCAAGGAATTCGGCTGAAGGTTCGGTTGGCTCTTCGACATTTGGTGACGCTTGTCTAGACGAGGCCTCTTCGTCCAGACTAGCAGATACGGCTGCTGGGCGTGGAAGAACGAACCCAAAGCTAAATTGGTTTAGAGGCTTAGGCTTAGGCTTGTTCGCAATCGTTGCCGACTTGGGCGGGCGGCCACGTCTTTTCTTGGGTGGTGAGACTGGCCTTCTCGAGTTGAGAGAACCAGATGTTGATGGGCGCGACTCTGGTACCGGCACGAGCGGCGACGCAGCGTTGATAGCTGGGTGGTTATAATAACCCAATACTTCTTGGCGGACATCTTCAGGCAATGCCGCCAATGCATCTGGGTCCAGCTGAGACTGAGGGGGGAGGTCTGCTTGGGCAGGCTGTCGTGCTTCACGGGGAAGAGGACATGGAGACCCTGAGCGAGAATCCTGGCGCGGCTTTGCTTGTGCAACAAGCCTTGATCTGATATCCCTAGGCAACTCGGCAACGACTTTGGGATCCGCTTGGGTGGGCATAATAAATTGGGTCCCCGAGATATTGAGTGGCTTGTGGGCACTATCGCTGAGTATTGGATCTGATTGAATACGAACAGAGTTATCTTTTTGCGGACTCTCTAGCTCGTCAGGGTCCGCATCTGGAATGACTTTCTGGCGAGGCGGAGACTTCTGGAAGTTGAGTTGTCGCTGGCTGCTCTCGGGGCCTGAAGGGCCAGATTTGATTGATTCAAGTTTGGTCATTTGCACACCCAGACCTCTCAAGTCTCCAGGTGAAAAATTGAAACTTCTCAACATCGATATTGCTTCTTTCCCAATGACTTCTGAAACATTGGTCGCGACACCAAGAGCGACGCTCTTGTTGAATGTATCACACTTTCCATGACCGAGATGCTTGACGGGTTCTAGTGGAGCGTCTAGCGATCGACGCATGACCTTTAAAGTGAGCTGTTTCCCCTTCACTAGATTTTCCGTCAATCTTCGATTCAGCTCCTCGCACAGAGAACGCACAAAGTCCTCTGCTTGGTCCTGATTGACAAATCGAATCCCCCAGTTGACCTCGGCCGAAACAGATTTCCTCGTGGTTTGATCGCCAACTTCTGTTCTGTCGATTCCTCGGGCGTATTCCCACAATTTCATTCCAGTTTTGGGTCCCAGACCAGATATTAGTCTCTCCCTCGGGAGATCTCGGATGTCTTTGACAAACTTCACATTCAGTTCTTCCAGTTTAATTGCCATGCTATTGCCCACTCCGGGAAGATCACGAACAGTGAGATCTCCAATGAAGTCCAAAACAGCATCTGGCTTTAATTGAAACTGTCCAGCAGGCTTGGCCTTTCTAAGAGACACTTTTGCGAGAAGAATATTGTTGCCAATTCCGACAGAGACTTCACATCCGGTCTTCTCTTTGATTGAATCGCGTAAATCTTGCGCAATTTCATCCGCTTTGGCTTGCTCGCGATAGATTGATCCTTCTGATATAGCCTTTCCGTCTGAGCCGCCAGCTTCCACGCATAAATTTGTGACATCAATCAAAGCCTCGTCGATACTGACACTTTGCACGATACCATCGATGGCAAGTATCGAGGTGTAGAACTTGCGACTCGCATCTTCATAGGCAGGGAAATCATAAGGTAGGACTTTGAGATCGGGGCATGATTGCAAAGCAGCTTTCATCCACATCCCATTCTTGACGCCGCGAGCACGTGCAGGATAATTACAACTAGCAATCTCGGAGCCTGATCCAGAGCCATGGGCGATAGCAACAGGCTTTCCCCGGAGCTCGGGATGATTTAGAACTGAGACAGCTGCAAAGAATGAGTCGAAGTCCACGTGTAGAATGTACCGTCTTGATCCAGGCACAAGTTTCTTTTTCAATCTCTGAGACTGTGCATTTTCCTGCGTTGCGGCCTGCAGTTGGGCTTTCAGCTCCGCCTTCCAGGTTGACAGATGATGCAGGCGAGACTCCCTATAATACTGCTGCAGGAATTCTGGATTGACAACAGATGACTTCTGCATCCTTGGGTCGGACAGGAGCTGCGCATTGTATTCTTCAGAAGTTAAAGCGGGTTTTGTTGGACTTGTTTGGTCGAGAGGCGAGGTTGTTGATTCGAGGTCAACCAGTGGATCTGGTGAAGTGGGCACTTGATCTGAATTGGGAGTTTGATGTGGTATCGTAGATTGTGCTATATCACTGGCTAGTGCTTGTTGGTGCTCAGGGTCATGATATTCCTCCTCGTTCTCCATAGTGAAGCTAGGGAAGTCGCCATAGTCCGACTGCGATGGCTGGCTCGGCATGGTTGGTGTGATCGTATGTGAGGCTTTCGACCGAATAGATGGGGTCACAGACTTCGATGAAGAGCCGATGCCTTCTTCTGTTGTGCTCATATCTCTGAGCTGAGAGCTATACCTGCTAGACCTCGATTGGTCTTTGTAACCTGCGCGAGGGCTATTCGTCTGGCTGATAAACCGGCCATTATCAAACTTGAGCACTCTTTGCGCTTCACCCTCGTCTACTATTCTAAATTCATCCCATGGCAGCAGACGTCCTGCTTTGATACTGTCTGTCACCCACGTAGGTTTCACTATGCGGTAGCGGCGGAACTCTTCACGCTTCTTGGGGGTCAGAGCAGTGGCAATAATATGAGTAGCTGCTGTCTTGCCATCCAGGTATTGAAGGAAGCCACCCCCATGGCTGACAATCAAACGGTGCAGCTCTTGCAGGGAAGGTTGAGTGTACCCATTGATATGGGCAACCACACCACGGAATATTGGCGGGCAATCACCAGCTGATGCTCGAATTTCTGCGTCAAGATTCTGCAACTTCATCTTTTTCCGGCGCATGTAGTCCCCAAACCCGCCGAAGCTGGAGGCCTCATACTCCTCTCCTCTTTCATCGTCAAATTCATCTAGACATGGTCAGATAAAAGCGGAAACTGATATTTAGACTAAACGTACGATTTTCAATGCGTTTGCGCACTGCACTAGAGTTGATCTCATGACGGGAGCCCATTTTGGGCTACAACTACCATCATGACTAAGAAGAGAGTGTAAAGACAAGGATGTTGCCGTTTCGCGCGAAGCTTGGCAACCATCACGTGGATCCAAGCTTCGAGGAAGCGGTCACTCATGGCAATACACCAGCGGTGAACGATTCGTTGGTCTCATTGATCAATATTTTTTTCTCCAATTTTTTTGCCGTATCTGTTGCTTGGGAGCATCTTTTCTTTTCTCTTTTCTTTCCTTTCCATCCACATCCTTTTCCACGTGGTTCATTCTATTTTTGAACTAGATCTTCTTCACCTTCGGCACTTTATTTTACTCACAATGTCTGCTGTTCAGCCTGTCGCAGTCTATGCGCTCCGGGTTCCTCCCGGTGCCATGGTCCAAGCAGTCCCCAACGCTGCTGCTTCGGTCAGTCTTACTGTAATCATCAATTGGCTAATAGCTTGTGCTGACATTAAATATAGTTCCGCATCAGCATGGCCGCTATCGACCCCGATGAGGCCCCAGAGTACGAGGATGACCAGGACTCGAGCAAGCCTTCCCGTTCCACTTTGAAGATTGTTCGCGGTCCTCCTGGTCTTCTCGATGAGGATGACGAGGATGATGAGGACTACAGTGATGAGGATGAAGAGGACTCAGATGACGAAGAGGAGTCCAACGGTGGTCCTAGCGACAAGGAGAAGGCCCGCAAGCTCAAGGCAGCTGCCGCCCTCAAGGACCTCGAGGACGCCATGGAGGAAGATGATGAGGAGGAGGACGATGAGGAGGACTTCGACCTAAAGGCTGCCATCTCCAAGCTCATCAAGGGTAAGGGTCCTGCCCTTGACGATGAGGACTCCGAGTCTGAGGAGGGCCTGGAGCTCGATGAGAGCGTTATCTGCACCCTCAGCCCCAGCCAGGTAAGGCGAACACCCTCTTGAGTTTCACAATCGGTTGAATCTTGACGTTTAATACCTCTATAGAACTACCAACAGCCCCTAGATATCACTATCTGCGAAGGTGAGCCCGTGTTCTTCAAGGTCACCGGTAACCACACTGTCTTCCTAACCGGTAACTACGTCATTGGTCTTGATGAACACAACCATGACCATGGCCACGATGAGGAGGAGGATGACTACGACCTGTCTCCCGATGAGGATGAGCTTGACATGGAAGATCTCTTGGCCATGCAGGATGGTGATGAGAGCGATGACCTTGATGACATTGAGGACCCTAGAATCACCGAGGTTGAGAGCGAGGACGAGGCTCCTAAGCTTGTCGAGTCCAAGAAGGGCAAGAACAAGCGCGCTGCTGAGGATGAGGTCAGCCTCGACGATCTGATGGCTAAGGCCAACAAGGCCAAGTCTACCAAGGCTGAGGAGCCCGCCTTGACTAAGGCGCAGCAGAAGAAGCTCAAGAAGAACAACGGCGATGCCGCCGCTGTTGAGCCCAAGAAGGATGCTAAGAAGGAGGACAAGAAGGATGATAAGAAGGAGGCCAAGACCGACAAGAAGGTCCAGTTCGCCAAGAACCTCGAGCAGGGCCCTACCCCCTCCGGCGACAAGCCCACCGGCACTCTCGGCGTTAAGGAGATCCGTGGAGTCAAGATGGACGACAAGAAGCTCGGAAAGGGTGTTGCTGCCAAGAGTGGCAACACTGTCGCTATGCGCTACATCGGCAAGCTCGAGGACGGCAAGGTTTTCGACTCTAACAAGAAGGGCAAGCCTTTCACCTTCAAGCTCGGAAAGGGCGAGGTCATCAAGGGTTGGGACATCGGTGTTGCCGGCATGGCTGTCGGTGGTGAGCGTCGTATCTCCATCCCTCCTTCTCTCGCATACGGCAAGAAGGCCCTCCCCGGCATCCCCGCCAACTCCAAGCTTATCTTCGACGTTAAGCTCCTCGAGATCAAGTAAATTGCTCGACGTTGTCATCCGTTTCGGGGTGTTTTGAGGTTACTGATTGAATTGCATCTGTGATATCCATTGCTGTCTCTTTTTTCAGTTCACTCGCCCACTGCATTTGGCAGGGATGAGATGATCGCGAGGAATTTGTATCCCTGCATGGAAAAAGTGACCATTTTTTGCTGTTTATTATACACTTTGTACTAGTTTCTTTACGAATTGATCATATGATTGAGTCTTAATCTCTCCGGTATGAAAGGATGCTTAACTTTTTGAATAATATGAGCTGTATACCTCGCCTCCTGGCCCTTGCGTCGCGACAGATTCCCCGATATGGAACCAGGCGTTGAAACAAGAGCAACAATAGGAGACAAGGCTGCCAAACACATGGTTTTCTATTTTTGTATGAAACCTAGAGTGTTCTTTGTTTCATACAAGTCCATGGTTGACGGTTCCCTTTGCCTTGTTTAGGCTATGGCGGCGATTTGCTGATCAACGTCATTGCCTCCTTCCAGCCGCCGGCCAGAGCCTCCAAGGCTCACTCGATTAATCACTCCAATCATCCTTTGTCTTTACACGTTGGCTCACCACCATCTGTGATATATTAACCCCCCATCTCTTCCTGTTCTTCCTGTTCTTCCTCGTCCGATAAATATGGCCATCTAGCCGACTGTGACCAGCTCCCCGCAGATAAGGCACTCGTGACTGTTCTGGCGCTTATCGATTCTATCAGCTTCAATCATAACATCTACGTTGTACAACGTCTCATAATCCCTAGGTGATTATCAGTCTGTATTGCGACATGGACACTGGCGACCGCATGTTATGCCATGCCTGTGGCGGGGTTTGGACTAAGGATGGTGATTTTTTGACGTGCCCACATTGTCAATCGGAGTTCACAGAAATAGTACAGCGAATACTTTCTCTCTTGGTTTATTTAATTCTGACACTGTCGCTTCCTCTAGATTGAAATCCCCCCAGAAATATCTCCCGAAGGCTCCCCCTCACGCCGTGCGGACTCCGTATCGCCTTCGCGTGTTAGCCCATGGTTAGACCACAATCCGTGGGAACAAGACACGCAAGAACAGCAAGGCCCTGGGCTTTTCGGAAGGGCTACTCCTCCATTTTCCTCCTTGCGCACATACAGATCGCCGGACGGTCGCTTCTCATTCAGCAGCGCGACACTTGAGACCGGAAGGCCTTCTGGTCAGCGCAACGATGGCCCGAACCCTATGGTTCCGATGATGATGCACGGCTTTGACACAATTTTTCAAAATTTAATGGAGCCAAATGCCCGTGGATACAGGGGATTTGGAGAGGACCCCTTCCATCCTCAATCCTCTACCGCTCCCGACTGGCTCGAGGACGACCACCTTACAGGCCATCACCCAGGCCTCTCTCCCCGCAATGCAGATGCGCCGCAACCTGTCAACCGCAACCCGACAGACATAAATGAGTATGTACTTGGCTAGTATGTTGCATTATTACCAGACTAATCAAATCTAGAATCATGGACGCCATTCGTGCTGATATTGGAGTACAAACTACACGACGCTCGCGTGGAGGTCGTAACCCGGCAAGCCCACACGCTCTTTCGATATTGTCTGCCCTTCTCAACATGAGTCGAAGCGGGGATGCAGTCTATTCGCAGGAGGAGCTCGACCGAGTCATCACACAACTGGTTGATAATCCTGGAGGGCCTAGCACTGCGGCACCGCCAGCATCTGATGCTGCCGTCCAAGCTTTGCCGAAGAAGAAGATCACCGAAGAGATGATGGGATCTGAAGGAAAGGCAGTGTGTTCGATTTGCATGGATAACGTTGAACTCGGCTTGGAAGTCACTGTGTTACCATGCGCTCACTGGTTTCATTACAACTGCATCCATGCATGGCTGACCCAGCATGACACTTGTCCGCATTGCCGGCGCAGCATCAATTCAAATACAACGTAAGTCTGCGAGTCGTATCCATAAAACGACGACTCTCAGCTGACGGTATATCTCACAGAGGCGGAGAAGGCACCCCTGAGAATCCAGTAGTGATCCGGGATAGTCCTGAGCAGCCGAGATCCCAACCGCGTCGCAGTTCTGCTCGCACTGTGCGCAGCGGTCGATCCTCATTATCTTCTTCATTGCAGAGTCGGCTTTCCACTCGAATGTCACCACCCGGGTCCCCTACGCCAGAGGGAGGGGAATCCAGAAACCGTCGGTCTAGCCGGGGTGAGGGTGTGGGGGGACTCGCCGGTTGGCTTACGAACCGATTTGGAAGCAGCGCATGAGCAGAATCGCCATATCAATTTTTATTTGCATACAACGGGCCTTTTCCCCTTGTTTTTCGGTATGTGCTTCGACCCATGCTTCATCTGTCAGTTTTAGCGATTCGGCTGGTTCCACTACTTTTTCTTTCCTTATGCAATTCTTCTATTTCTCCATACCCCCTTTGAGTGACATTCACTCCGTGCGACAGGGAATTAAACCATGTCTGGTCTTTTACGAGAGTCTGTTTGTAAAGCTGCTCCTTCCTCTGTCCCATGTACATACACATTTTACACATTGTCATTTTGCATTCAGATCAACCGGTGCATATATACATAGTAAGAAGTAACAGGTTATGAATATTGCATACCTACAACATGTTCATCGGCCTCTCCTTGCATCAGATTGATTGTCTACGATCCATAGGTGCCATGTAATGATTGGACTTGGGATTTAGTCTACCGCGACAGACATGTTACTGTATATCATTGATAATCGGGGAGTATGGGGGAGTATGGAACATGGTAACCCTTCCGTAGACATGCTACGGATTAATTTTCCTTTATATAGCAGTAAATGCTGGCCTCTACCATCAAACTGGGCTTGTGGTTTAGTGGTATAATACTCCCTTAGCATGGGAGTGGTCCGGGGTTCGATTCCCCGCGAGTCCACTTTTTTGCTTTTTGTCTTTTAGTATATTTACGGACACAGAACCCAAATCAGCACCTGGGCTAGAATTTTTGTGATTTCAGAGAAAAGTCGTTTACTAGTGTTGCGGAAATACAAGAGTATCAAGCGCATGCTGATTGGAAACAGTCACAAAACACAAGTTGATTGATCATAAGAGATTGAATCCCATGAAGTCCAATTCATAGCTAGCAAATAGCTGGCTTATATCTCCGGGCGTGACCGGGGATGTCAATGATAATTCAAGAGGCCACTCACTTCCCATCGGATTGGAGTAATCATGCAGAGGATGATCATTACCCTCCATCACTGGATTTTGATCCAGCGCGACATCGTCCAGACCCGTAAATGTGTCAATATCAAGCTTCTCCAAGAGCAATTTGTCAAAATGGTTGCAGTTTTGCAGCAGCCCAAGATGAGAGATCAGGCTCTGTGGCCCAGTAAACTTTCGCAGCAACCGCTGTGAAGACAGGGAGAATAGGTAAGTTCGCAGTAAGCTTAGACCATTGGCAATAGCATCGACCACGGCGGCACCTTCACTCGGAGCGAGCTCCGTAGTGGAAAGGCGCGAATAGTGAGCAAGAACAAGGAACAAGGAACACAAAGCAGATGGAAGAAAGTGATTGAAAATTGGTATTTGTGTGCGATATAGATTGGTTTTACGATCCATCTCGAGGACCTTATTGATCGTGTTTGTTGCAAGTTGGACGAGAGTGTCTGCATGGCCGAGATTCGCTTTCGCTATTTGGTATGAGTAAAGTAGAGGACGTAGGACCATAATCCTGATTTGGTTTGCTCGTAGGAAAAGGATGGATCTGAGGAGATACGCCTGTCGGTCCTCAAATGGAATGCTCTCTACAGATCCCAGCTCGTCTTGGGACGACTGTAGAGCTTCGGGAAGACTTTCTTGCCATGATTTGACTTTGTAGCTCAAGAAATCAAAGGTTTCTTCCTTCAATCGTCGCTTGAATTTCCCGTGTTCATCTGTGATGGAATATCAAATTTGGGCTCCAAACTGCACATATGCAAAGATCGACTCCATATCAGTCAAAGAGCTCGTAGAGAAACTATGGGCCATCTGTCTCCGTTTTAGGGCGTGAATCTGGTTTCTATGTGAGAAAATTGCGGAGAACACATTTGTTTTGTTTGAATCTTACCTTTTCATCTCGGTTCCCAAACAGATTTGGATTGAATGTTGTGAATCCGTCGAAAAATGGACTTTTGACCATTGCCTTTCCGGACTTGTAGATTGGGGCGACGGCTTCGGCATTCCAGAAGCTGAGCTCGTTTGGAGCTATTCGCACAATAGGTCCGTATTTTCGATGCAAAGAAAAGATTCTTTGGCCAATCCGCAGAGACAAGAACAGAGAGAACTTGTGGAAATCCGTGAAGGCGGCGAGAAACGGCCCGGGGTATTTTGCTAACGGGTGAAAGAATTCTTGATATATCAGGTAGACAAGGAAGAGAAGGGTTCCGACAATTAGAAGGGCAACCGGATCCGTTATTATGCGGTGGATAGCCATGATGTGGTTATATTTTGAACTCGCGTGATACAATAGAAGCGAGATACTAAGTAGAAGCAAACCAAAAGAACGCCATTTCTGAGCATATTGACCCTATATTTAAGAAAACGGCCATGAGCCTGGAATCGTTGAAGTGTGCGGAATCAGTTTCCCCAGTTCAGACACGTTCCGCTGGCACGTTCCGAGGCGAAAGCCGAACCGCGGGACTGCGGTAGTCAAGTGCTTATGTACGAATCTTGGTAATACCTAAAATCGAGAACATAGTCAATGATGCTACGCTATAATAATTTGTAAATGGCAAATTTCTGCTGGAAATAGAAGCCAATAGGACCAAAGTCCCCAGTGGTCCCGAGGTCGCTATGCACCGTGATAAATATGATTCAAAGCAAAAAGCAAATATGCATTGTTTAATTAAGATGGAAATCCATTTAAAATCCAACCAGCAAATTTGAAACCAAACCGATGTCTCAGACCGGCCGTGCTTTGTCTGACAGCAGAACCCGTTATTCGAACCCGTTATTCGACGACTTCATCGTTCCGCCCCCACGAGGGGCTGGCTTGCCATAAACCACGACCGGAACGGATTGAGGAGTCTCTGCCGTCGAGCTGCTTTGCGTTCCTGCTCAATGCGCTGCATGTCCATCCAGACAGTTGGGGTGATGATGTGAGGCGGTGGTTGGAGGTAGTTGGAGTTGGAGTTGGGCGTTATCTCAAAGCTTGAACTGATCCGGTCAAAGTCTTCCTCGATGTTTGGCGTGTCTGTGACTGGCCATTCTGAAGGTGACTTCTCGACAGTCGTCACTGGGTGTGATGCGTCAAGATCTGTGGATGGGTGTGATATTGGGAATTCGACTGTGCTTGCTCTGGGCTTCTGATGCACCGTTATGTGTTCGGGATAGACATGAGAACTCGGGAATTGAAGCGTGTCATTGGTTTCGAGGGTTTCGTCTAAAGGAAACTCCGGATGTTCCCCGGCCCACTCTGGTCCCATTGACAAGTCGAATTTCCTGGTCGTCCGTGTTGTCCCCGATAGCGTGAAGTTTTGACAAAAGGCAGAGTATGACTGATGCAGACGCATCTCTCGAGCTGCTTCTACGTCGAAAACAGGACATTCCTCTTCAATGGCTTCGTAAATACGGTCGTATATTTTGACCTCGTGGATCGCATGATCTGGTGGGTCAACATCTGTTGCGTCATTGAGATATTTGAGATTTTTTTCGCTGAGCGCATGTTCTTGAACGCCGCCCCTGAGGATTTTATTTGTTATCCTCTGAGAAACCTTTCGTGTGAGCGTCGCAACTGTGTTTCTTCGACGGAGTGGGGTCCGTGGTTGCTCTATCGAATCTTGGGTAGAGAAGGTATCGCTTGAAGCGAATGAAGCATTGTCATTGACAATAAGGATATCAGGCATTTTGAATGCGTAGACTGATCTTGAATGAATGGTGATTTGAGAGAGGAAGATCGAAGGCCAAGGGAATAAATAATTTCTCGCCAAATATCAGTTTGATTGAGCAGGGACAGAGGCTGAAACCGCAATATCCGATACAACGAGTCAGAGACAGCGGTCAATTCCCACGAAGTACGTACGTAGGTCCTCCGTATTTATTGCAAATTGCAGAACAAAGAAGATAAGGTCTGGACGCTCAGGCCTGGTACTTTATAAGATTAAGAGGATCAGGTGGACAGACCGTCTATTAATCTATTTCCCTGAGATCTAGCATGTGCTCTGCCTAGGAGATAACCTCAATATAAACAACCAGTTCGACGCTACCTGTTATCATCGCATAGCAGCCGCTAAACAAGCCACCATGCATAGTGCAAGTGGAGGACGTCAGAGGGCAAAACGTGCGATAAGGCTTGTCTGGGAAGTCCAGTTGCCTGGTATACTGAAAAAAGATCATTTCTAGTTCCCTTTCCTATTTGGAAGACTTCTCAAGCATAATAAACGACATCTGGAGGTTGGTATCCAGCCCTGGAGTACAGAGAGTGCTTCGTGATAAACCAAACAAAGGGGGGACAGTGAGACATTCCAATCACCGTCCCCGCCATAACCGACAACGCCGACAACGCCAACACCGGTGGCGCTGCTTAGCTGTGGGCTAGTCTCGGACATTACATCCAATGCATGCTAGTTTAATTGCGGTCACAAGATCAAATCAAATCGTGAAAATATGTTTATTTACAAAACCCTCTAAGCTATGTGTCAAAGGCAATAAAAGTACATTCGTGTCACATTATCCAGACACGCCTTCACGCCCGAGGCCCCAGCGGCCAACCTCACGCATGGCCTCGTCGCCACCTTCAGCTAACCGTCCGTTGGCATTGGAGGGGTTCTTGTCTCCCAGGACACCAGCCACACACTGCCAGCCATTGCGGCCTCCACCCCAACGGAGGACTTCGTTCTTGTATCGCTCACCGGCGGCACGATCAGTTGCCGCATGACCAGACAAGAAGACGTCCTGCCAGAGTTTGTTTGCGATCGCGCGATCAAATATATAGCTATAGTATGTGGCACCGTAGCCATACAAGTGGCCGAAGAAGCCCTGCCAAGAAGTGCGCGGGATATTGTTCGGCTCGGGTAGACTGGAATACTCGGAAAAGACTCGATGATAGATATCGGTGGAATCAATGCCGGCTGAGCTGACTTCGGCTGGGATTGAATGATATGCCTGATCGACGAGCGCCATGAGGATCTGTGCTTCATTCTCAACGGCACCGTAGATGGACCCGTGCGCAGTGCGGTCTAGCTCCATGCTCTGCATCATGCTTTCAGACAGAGGCTCGTCGGTCTTCCAGTGTCGCGCATAGAGGCGCAGCACCTCTGGCGCAGTCGCAAAGCTCTCCATTAACACGGAAGGAAGTTCGGCAAAGTCCGTGGCGCATCGAGTACCGGAGATGGACTGTAGAGGTGTTTGGCCCAAGATGGAGTGGACAGCGTGGCCCATCTCGTGGAACAAAGTGCGAACACTCTGCTCACTCAAGAGAGTTGGCTGGCCGCTGCCATTGGCCTGAGGTTCCTGGAAATCACACACGAGGGCAATGGTTGGAAGTTGGCGCAGAGTGTTAGTCTGCGGATCTACACCAGTGGCCATGCCATCGTTCGGGTGCGCAGATTCGTTCATAGACGCACACTCGGCGATCTCCTCTGGAGAGATTTCGCGCGAGCAGCGCAGAGTAAAGTGAGCCGGGTTCGGGTGTTTGCTCGGCCGTGTAAATAGGTCGCAGTAGACGACTGCAATGTGGTTCTCCGATTCATCCACCACATCCAATCGACGAACGTCGGGATGCCAAGTCTCGCCGGGAGATGCTTCATGGGGAACTAGACGTACACCATACAAACGTTCAAAAAGTCGAGAGAGACCTTGCATCACTGTCCCCAAAGAAAAGAACTCGTTGACAACACCCATGTGACGAGAGCGACGAGCTAGGGAATAATCCAAAACGCGCTTGTGAACGTAGTATGCGTGGTCCCAGGGTTGAAGGGCGGAGTCTCCCTTCAAGGCCTGCAGCTTAGATAGTTCTTCCCGGACTAGACCTTGGTTGCTTGACACAAGCGAAGTCAAAAAGTTTGATACTGCTTCGGGCGTCTTGGCCATTTTGTCGCCGAGAGTCATGTGCGCGAAGCTATTATAGCCTGTAAGTTGTGCCAACTCTGCCCTCTTCACCAAAAGTTCCTCCAGTCTCTGAATTTGGCGCTTGCTGGATGTTCGAGTCGCGATATACATCTCCTTGCGAACTTCTTCATCATGTACCGAGCGCAGAACAAGTCGAGGGACAATCCCCGTAGTCGGAACGGGCGCTTTCTTATTCCATCGCTTGAGCTTGGAGACAACCATAGGATCCAAGCCTTGGAGGCTGTTGGCACCAAAGACCACCTGGGATCTTGCAGGCTCCGCCCCATTCATAAAATCGGAACCCAACTGGCTCACATCATTTGAGAGATTTACAAACCGTTGCCTCACATTAGGCGGCATGTGAATTGCAGAATTCGAGAAATCCTTGTTGAGGATCTGTGCCACGATCCGTTCTGCCTCGGTCCAATATGATGTCACGTCGGGGTTGTTCAAGGCCTTATTGAGTTGATCATGAAGCCCTGTGGTTGTGTTCAAAACGTTCATATATTCAAACATAAGAGCCCACGCCTGCGTGGCTGCTTCCTGTATCCTCGGATCGGGGTGAATGGTTCGAATGAAGTCGGACAAGTCGATGACACGACACAGGAGATCGCTCAGCTGGTCGAGGTCGCGTGCAAGGGCCCTGTATTCTTCAACCGTCGAGGCCGCAAGCACTTTGGCTACAATAGCCTGGCATCTTTGTAGCGAGACATTAGCGAATGTCCTAAAGCCCTCGGGACTTGTCAGGTATTGGTTTTGGACCAATCCAGCTCGTTTTGGGACGGAGGTCGTGCGCTGCTGGGAGAATTCATTCCAAAACGGTTGGGAATCAAAAACCCGACGCAGAGTATGGTCGTCGGTCTTCTTTCTTGGTGAACTGTTATCCACTGGAATATACTCGAACGACGTTGACGGGGAAGATGCGGCGCTCTCGAAGGCTCGATATTGGGGCCGCAGTTGTAGGCATTTGCGACATGTCCATGTTCGTCGCAAAGGGCGAAGCATTGTAGAGACTGTATTAAAAGCAGATGAAAACCATCGGAAATTGCAGATTCACAAATCCCCTGCCGAAAGAAATCTAGAGTCAAGGAGAACGGACAATGACGGAGTTTTCTGGAGGTTCCGCCGAGCCGAAGAATTCCCGTCCTGCTCCAACACGACTTTGCTTCATCCTCACTACCAGCTCGCCCCCCCTTCTCCTCTTCCCCACACCCTCAGGATGTCATTCCGGCCGATGTTGCAACAGGTATGCCCTTGTATAACTGCCTCCTTTCAAGTTGGATGCAATTGATCCCCAATGTCCCGTTCCTATGTTGACTTGTTCCCAGCGGGCTGTGGCTCCGATCGCAGCCACTCTCCTCGCGGGAGGTATGGCTCTGTATCCTAAGAAGACCGCTTTCGCAGAAGAGCCCCGAGACTATGTATGACCAGATATCTTCCTAGCTCTATTGAATGTCTGAAAAGGCTTGGTCTGACACACGACTGCTTTCCTAATATAGCGGAAACCCATCTACGATGACTTGCCCGCCGACATTCCTGAAACCTCCAAGCTCTCGCAGCCTGCTGCGCCTGCCACCCCGAAGTCGATCTCTGCGCCGGCTGCGCAACAAGCTCCCTCTTCGCCCACCCCGACAGACATCCTGACCGCTCAGGTCCGACAAGCTCGCCTTTTCCTCTACTCACACTCCCTCGCCGCAGAGCAGGGCTTCAACAACTTCCTGTCTCGGGCCCTCAACATCGAAAACTGCTTCACCAACACCGTTGCCTCGCTCGCGCCTTCTGCCGAGTCCGGCGAGCGTCTTTTGCCCGGCGGTGTCTATGTCGTCGTGGCCGCCATGGCCGGCTCGATCGTCTCGCGTAACCGCGGTATCTTCCTGCGCACTGCATCGCCGCTCGCCTTCGGTACTGCTGCCGCCTACAGCCTCCTGCCCGTGACCATGCGGAATGTCGGAGATTTGGTTTGGGAGTACGAGAAGAAGGTCCCTGCCCTTGCGGACAAGCACTTAGCTGCTCGTGAGCGCGCGGAGCACATCTGGTACACCGGAATTGCGCACAGCGGAATGGCGCGCCAGATGATGGAGGAAAAGATTGGTAACACCCGCAAGAAGTTGGAAGAGCTGGTGAGCAAGGGCCACTAAATATAGCCCGACTGTTTGGGGCTATAGATGGATTTATTTGTTGCATATGTACGCTTAGAAACTCCTAGATCCGAAGACATAACCGGATTGATTCCTTTTGTTTGAATTGTGCGGTCATAAGTTCCGAAACTCGTCCATGTAGACGCGCATAAACGTACCACGGAGGCTTTGGCCAACGCTCTTTGGGAACATCTTCTCGATTTCTCTTGAGTTTGGTCTTCTCCATCACAATTCTACATCGCAGCCATGAGTACCTCTTCTCCTCCCACTCCGCCATCAAGTGGCCCAATAGATGAGGAACGGAGATTCAAAGATATTACATCACCCTGTGAGTGGGTGGAGGATTACCGCCCAGGTGGTTATCACCCAGTCGTTCTCGGCGATGTCTTCAACCAACAGTACAAGGTCATCCGGAAGCTTGGCGAGGGCTCCTATTCAACGGTTTGGCTCGCCCGTGACCTGAAGTAAGTTCATTCTCTGCATCTCTACCCGCGCCGCTATAAACTATCATTGCTTATCCCCTCTAAGAAATAGTGGATATGTCGCCCTGAAGATCCTCGTGTCCCAAATCTCGGGATCGACAACCGAGCTAAGAATCTTACGCCACATCGCCGAAGTCGCACCAGTTGAAGGAACTCGGTATATCACGCAACTACTAGGCGAGTTCGAACACCGCGGACCCAATGGCGTCCACAAGTGCCTAGTATTTGAGCCCATGGGCCCGAGTGTGAACAGTATGGTCGAGGAGCTACCGCAGTTCAAACCTCGCAAGCAAGAAATGAAAATCCGCTATCCGGTTTGGATGGCAAAGAGCATCCTCAAGCAATCCTTACAGGCTCTTATATTTCTTCACGAAAACGGTATCGCCCATGGAGACTTCCAGCCGGGAAACATGCTCTTCACTCTTAACAATGTCAACTCGACGCCCGAGGACTTACTCCGGCAAGAGGAAGACGTGGAAGCCCAGTCGATCTCGCCCCCTGTAGAGAGGCTAGACGGTAAACAAGATAAATGGGCTCCTCCTTATCTTTGCGTTGCGCAGCCGCTAGTACCATTTACCTGCTACACCGAAGGGTTCAAAGTCAAATTGTCCGATATAGGCGGTGGTCAGTCTTCCCTGTTTCGATTATATATATCTTATTCTTGACGAATATCTATACTGATACCCGACTTGCCCTGGATAGCATATTTCTTTACCGATCCGCCGAAAAAGCCCGTCACTCCACGCGGTCTTCGAGCTCCCGAGTTAATTTTTACCAACGCCTTTGACAACACCGTTGATGTCTGGAGTTTCGGTTGCATTGTCTTTGAGCTTCTCACCGGACTGCCACTCTTCTGTTTACCATACTCCAATATGGTAGATGCAGATGACGATCATCTTATCTCCCTCACCACCCTGCTCGGCGATCTCCCAGACGAGCTCTTTAGCCGTTGGACAAGATCCTCGCTCTACTTCACGCCGGAGAGGAATCTCTTCAATGAGGAGCTTGGAGGGTCCGTCCGGGAAAGGAACCGCTTATTTTAGAGGAGCCATCCATGGAAGAGTCATTCGATCGGGCATGCCCGGATCTTGATGAGGAGGAAGCTCACGAAGTGAAGGCGCTCCTTCGATGGATTTTGCAATATGATCCCGCGAAAAGACCTTCACCTGCGGAAATCTTATCCCATCCATGGTTCTGCAAGATTGACGTTGAGAGCGGCTCGTCCAAGGTCAATACAGTCTAGTTATCTTGCGTGGTCGTTGTCATTCTCCAGACATCGTTAGTACTCCGCGGATGGTCTCTGGTGTTGTGTTTGTGGGTTGGCAATATCCAGGCCAAATAAGAAGCATATCAATACCATGCATCCATTAATTATTGAGATTTCAGCTTCAACTAAGTCGGCTAGCTTACCTATGGACCTCTGCTTCACTCGCTTCTTAGATTGATCATGGCTAGATCTGTTATAGGGAAGTTAAAGTACAAACTCGCTGACCTGCTAAAATATAGAATGTTGCAAAACCCACTTGCATTCACGATGATCGACATAATTTGATTTCATCATACTCCATATTAAATTGATTTCGGATTCTTGAGCCATCATTCATTCTTCCTCTGTAGGTCCTGGTCCTCCTTCCGGCGCAGGGCTCCCCGAGTGAGAGGGCGAGACTCCTGCCTTCGGCGGCGGAGGTAGAGGAGTTCCATGCCGTGACGGCGCATAGTCTTGCTCCCGACTTTTCTCTTCACCCTCGGCAAAGTAATCATCAAAGGCTCTATTGGGCGATGCCATTGACCTTGATTTCCCTGCACGACGCCCGGCGGGCGATCTGCTCTGTAATGGCGAAGCAACTCTTGCTTGAGCGAAGGCTAGAGGCGGCGGCGCTGCCATGTTTGCTGGGACTATGAAGTTACCCGAAGGAGCTGACGTATCTGGGGCAGTAGTGTCGTCCTCGCGTGTCTCGAATACAACCTCCCCCGGTCCCTCAACTGCTTCTCCAAGTCCAATGGGTAGTCGGTGAAGAGCACCGTATCCCAGCTCTGCACCAAGGGCGCCTTCGCCACCCCAGCCCCTGGTAGGAACGAGCTCGACCTCACGAACAACATCAAATTCGTTGTTGTAAACCCACAGGACCAGCGTGCGGTTTAGATGGTCTTCAACCAACTCCCCGAGTGCAGACTCCCCTCTTAACGTCCCGCTGGGAGTTCCAATAATATAGTCTGAGTAAGGAAGCAATCCGGCTCGGTATGCGGGACTGAGAGGTGATGGGATTGCAATAACATGCCAGATGTTTTGCGTGGAAGAGAGAGGGGCAAGCTGTAGCGCGAGGCCGAGCGAGGGGTTCGTTGGCGGTATAGGATGAGTGATTGTGTGTGTTCGTTGACCCTGGTAGAATATAAAATCAGCTGGAATCAAGAGATATCATCTTAGTATCTTTACCTTCGCACTCCACACTTCAAGTGTCAAGCTTCCCCCAGCGCAATTTCGGCATTCTGTCGCAAAGAGGTTCGGGTCCGGATCTTCCTGTATGTCAGTGTGAGCGAAGCTATGATATTGGGGAGTTGAATGATCCCATATGCTTACAATTGTATGACCGTTGATACCAACTATAAAGTCAAACCATGGCTCTAAAGGCAGATCCCGGTCTTTGTTGCGGAGGACCTGGAAACCGAATGCGTTGTCACTGGGGCCGCTGCGAGGCTGTTGGCCAGGCTCCCCGTCTAGCCGGCCGATGAAGCGATTTAATGCGCCGAACATGATTATTTGCTAGAATTAAGATTGTGAGAGGGGAAAGAATGAGGCTGTAAAGGGAAGCTGTAGTCCGGTGTGTTTACCTCGTGCGAGCTGGCCAGATACGCAGGTGCAAACCATGCAAACACCACCCATTATCACTTATCGAGAATCGATGGATCATTTCGCTTTATCGCTGCATTGTATCATGGCAGATGAAGACGCGCCTCCAGAGGTGCATCACTACAGCAGCTTGCATGAAGTGCCCTGGGACATCCAGAAGTAAGTGTGATTGTCATTAAAAAATACCAATGCTAACCCAATTTCCAGCTACTGGGCACAACGCTACCGGATCTTTTCCAAGTACGATGATGGCGTATGGTTGACCGATGATGCTTGGTTTGGTGTCACACCAGAACCAGTCGCGAAGTTTGTGACTCTTTTCGATTATGCCAGAATTTCTGCTAATATTTGTTTAGCACAATAGCTTCACAGATTGCCGAATCAGCGCCTGCTGGGCGCAGTATTCTCGTGGATGCCTTCGCTGGCGCAGGAGGCAACACCATTGCATTTGCTTTAACCGGAAAATGGAAACGAATCTACGCGATCGAAAAAAATCCCGCTGTGCTGAAGTGCGCAAAGCATAACGCGAAAATCTATGGGGTGGAGGACAAGATCACTTGGTTCGAAGGCGATTGTTTCGAGATTCTTAAGAATCAACTCAAAGAACTGGCGCCGTACAGTCTCGTCTTCGCCAGCCCTCCCTGGGGAGGTAAGTGTCACCGAATCGTTACTTCTGTGACATGAACTGATTGTAGCAGGCCCGGGATATCGTTCAGATCAGGTATTCAACCTGAAAACCATGGAGCCATATTCCCTCCAACGATTGTATGATGAATACTCAGTATTCAGCAAGCACATGGTCCTTTACATTCCAAGGACCTCTGATTTGGCACAAATTGCAAAACTGGTTCCTGACGGTGACAAGGCTACAGTAATGCACTATTGCATGGAGGGTGCAAGCAAGGCGTTGTGTATTTTCTATGGGGATTTCAATGTGTCATGACTTATGGTTGCTATTCATGACAATAACTTCAAATGTATTTTTAATTCCGAATAAAAATTTTATTCCTATTGTTCTTCATTGTTGTTGAAAAGATCCTATTGAGCCCTCAAGTATTGGACTTCAGGCATCGAGCTGATTGCCTTATCGGGTTAGCGTGACCCGGTCCCTTGCGCAGTATCCTGGAAACCCGCCGTTTTCCCTCTACGACCACCTGTCCGACACGCCCCTCCTCTTCTCTCTCCTGCGCAGTCTGAGCCACGGCAACACCGACATCCAAATTGCAGATTCGCATAATACCCAGATGTGCATATTTTAAATTGCGTTGTCGCCTTGTCCGGCTCGCGCCTACATTCTTAACCTACGATTTCTCTCACCAACCTTGCCGAATCTAACGCTTTTTTCATTTACAACACTTCTCTCATCTTAAACACAAGCTTACTCGCCCATCATGCCTCACGCAACACCGAAGGCCCCCGGGGGCGAGGATGATACCGATTTCGACGATGTGATGCGACAACTGAACAACTACGAAGATACCGGCCCCTCTCTAGATTTCTTGTCGCGTGATCTGGAAGTTGGTGAAAAAGCCGAGGATGCAATCGACTACGAGGACTTCGACGACGATGAACTTCCGGAGGAAGAGGAGACGACACGCCCAGCTCCAGCCCTGCCTGCAGTGGATGATAATCAAGATCCTTTCGCGAATTTGGGCTCAGACGATGCCGCTCTTTTCGGAAACGGCGACGATCTCTTCGGCGACCCGGGAGAGGGGGATCAGACCCAGGATGACAATCTCGATGATCTCTTTGGCGAAGGTTCTTTTTCGCCGCCTCCTGCTGGACAGGATGATCCTACCCGCGGCCTCTTCGAAGACGAAGATATGCCCTTGACAGATGCGCCCGTTGAACTACCACCCATCCCGTCGGCCCCGGAATTGCAGCCAGAGCCACCTATTATGGAGGAAGATGAATTCCCGGATGATGACAGTATCATGTCGGAAGACATGAATCCCGTCGAACTCCGCGCATGGAAACTACAGCAGCAGTTGTTCGCCATGTCAGGGGTTGAAAACCCACCTGCACCACCTGAGAACCACGAAGAGCTTTTGCATTCCTTGTTTCCCTCGTTCGACCGGAACACTCTTCCACGTTGGCTCGAGTTGATTCCCCACAAGAAGGCTATCTTCATTGGAAAACAGCCGGCCAAGCCTCCTAAGCCCATCTTGCCCACGAAAGTGAATATTGAGCTGGCAGCTGATCATGAGCGTGCATTCAGAACCGGGCAACTCCTCAAGCGTGGCCTCGATCATGAAACTCATGGCTTGGTGATGATTACACAATCGGACCGCGAAGAGGAGGGAGCAGAGGGGGATGAGGATACGAAGGAAGACATTGACCTGGATGATCTGGATGGAGATGAGGTGCTTCCGGGTGGCTTCACCATGCAGGACCTTCGAACGATTTGTGTGGACTGGGATGTTAAGGATGACGTCTCCAGCATTGACCCGGAAGAGCAGCCATTGGCACAAAGAAAAGATGATACATTTGATGAGGATGAAGCGGATTGGCTGATGGAAACCGAGGTTCCGAACAAGAAACGAAAGACCGGCCCGACGCCGATGGATGTCATTGCTCTATCACATATCGATATTCCACTATTGGATGACCCAGAACAAGCGACAATGAAAATCGCAAAGCGAGTGACAATTGATCTCAATGATCCGAACATTCTTGTGGACGAATTAAGAGCGGATGCCGTCGCAAACAAGCCGAAACACGCAGCTCCTCGCACCAGGGATGAAGTGGACCTGAATCTGACGCGCCGTCTCACCCAGCGCTACAACATTTCGAATGATCAAGCATACGACATGCTCAAACAGAATCATCAGAACAAGATCCGCAGTACTCTTGGCAATGTGACACTTGAGCACGGTCTGCCAGCCCTGCGTTTGCAGTGGCCCTACTACAAGACTGAGTTGGCCAAGGCTGAAGCTAGATCTTTCCACCGACCTGCTTTGGCCTTCCGACCTGGGCAAACGTCTTGGGTCAAGAACCCTACCCAGGTGCGACGCAAGCACTTACGTGGCAAAGATGCGAAAACTATCTATAATTCCACAAAGGCATTGTCCATGTCAGACAACTCCAATGTTTTGCTAGTGGAGTACTCCGAGGAGCTGCCCATGACACTAGCTAACTTTGGAATGTGCAACCGTTTCATCAATTATTACCGGCGAAAGAATATTGATGATCCCACTCGCCCAAGGGCAGATATCGGGGAAACGGTTGTTCTCTTACCTCAAGACAAGAGCCCCTACTCAATCTTTGGCCATGTTGACCCCGGCGAAATTTCCCCGGCAATTTCAAACTCCATGTACCGAGCACCGCTATTCCCGCACCAGACCAAATCTACGGACTTCCTCGTGGTCCGCAGTACCACTGGATTCGATGGCTCT